GAGAATTCGCCGCCCATCATTCTGCAGCCATGGTTCGATTTGCCCATAAGCCCAAGAACTCCATCATACATAGTACCGCGACTGTTATGCCGGCGTGTCGGCGTGTGGGGAGTGGGGAGTTAGCAGAGGTGGAATTCCCTAGCGAGCTTCGAGAATAGTTGGATCTTTCGGAGCAAGCAACCAGCGTCGTACAAGAGGAATCGAAATCTCGGTGGACATAGCGTATTCTTTATTATGTCGATCATGGGCAATGACGTGACTCGTCCTACGTGGGAGGCTCACACACTAGCTCACTTACGAATTGAAGACGATCAAGACGATAGAGGTTCAGTAGGTATATAGCTTAGGTACATCTACGTTCTGCGACACTGTGTTGCTTTGTGTCATTTCATCGCTACCGATTGAGCTCAATGTCATCTGAAGTCTTCAAACCTTCAAGGGCCGGCCCTGTTACTAGCACTCTAGGCAAAGTTTCCAACCTCCCCCAAGGAAAATAGGAAATGATGCACCAAACCGATTCAGGTACAGATTCCCAAATAATATAATGAAGGTGGATCAGCAGGAGTAAAAGAGATATCTTGATAGATCTACGACAGCAGATACTGGAAGTGGTCACGACATAGTTAGGTCGCTCCATAACATAGTTCAAAGCCCATGTCTTGAACGTGCCCTGCTTTCTGCGGGCACAGTAACACAAAATATTGTTATTACAGTACGGGTTATTTAGGAGTCGCAGGACACGGCGGAGATCGCTCATTTCAAGCGCCCAAAAGGAGCGTAGGAACCACCTCTCGCTCGCGATCAACGCCATCCTCTACTCGTTTTAGCTGGTGACTAAGAATTATGCAGACGCAACTGTATGAAAATGGTATGAAAATGGCACGGACAACTCATAACAAGACACTTTAGCTACATAGCCTCACTCTGCTCACTTCAATAACCGAGGTATCCGCACAGTTGCCGAAGTTGTAGCTATGCGATAATACAATATTTCAAGCTGGTAGCAAGCTGGGATTTACTGGTCTGTACCTCCTAGTGTATGCTAAGAGGTAGGTATGTATATCGCGACGATGTCCTCCCGTATATCAGTATATTCATCATCCGGTGCCCACATGGTCAAGAATAGGTCCACTACGATATGATCATCGATCTGACGATCTAATAGTGTAGAAGCAGAGGCCAAGTATGATCCGATCGTTATTACAAATCGGTTAGATGCAAAAGACCTTAGCATAAACCGGTCGATTTCTGCTTTCATCATCCGTGGAGAGACCCCCTTTTTCCCCACGTCCAAGTAAGATAGGTAGGTAGGTACCTATATGATATCTATAATTGTTAATAGAGCGAGCCCCTATTTTTTTTTTTACGAACAAGATCGACTAAATAATACATGCCAATTCGTATATCGTATAGTTGTCGGTCTATTCCAATCGTTGGCTCGTAAGTTAATTACATCATACAACTCAGATACAGCGTCCCTCAGTTTAAAAAAAGAAGCATATTCGATTACTTACCTTAGCTCGATCCCTTCGAGTGAGCCTCCATCCCTATATGTAAGTAAGCATGCAAATGTTATATATCCACGTCAGTGGTCGAAGATATATGTAGATATTCCTTGCCTCAAAGAGAAGGTATCACTTTCGAAACGGCAGTTCGACATTTTAGATGTATCAGGTGTAACCCAGAGCTCTGTCTTTAAAGTGAAATTAGCAACCAGTAAGACGCCACCCAGCGTTCCAGCAGGGAAGGTCTATCTGTAACTTTAAGCTTGGCGACATGCGGCAAAGATGGTGCCAAGCTGATGCTTTTAGAATTGTCCAAGAAATATTAGTGTGGCGCTTACAATGCTTAACAGAGCAAAATATCGACATTTTCATCTACGATTTTAGGTTAGCTACACAGGTGACTCTTCATCCTGCCCATTCGGATGATCAACAGTCTTTGTTCTAGTTCATTATTCCGTACATACAGGGGGGAAGTAGGAATTAATTCCGCCCCCGCATATCTATGGCCAAGGCAAAACAGTGCTTCCCAAATAACTAATAGAACGGCTATCCCAATCCCAAGAATATAGAAACGAGTCTTCCCAGCAAAGGCCCCCATGCCTACATAGCAGAATCTGACGTGTCTAACGCTCTGCTAGATAATAGACTCTGAAAGCACTCCATGATCATTATGATTAAATCCAAGCCCTGCCATGTTGCCTAATAAAACTCCATTTCTTTCCACATTTTCATCACCAGTATCACACTCTTCTAGCGGCAGTAACAAGATGGCAGCGATTGCAATTTAGAGAGCCAAGAACTTGTATGGAATCTGGAATACCGTTTTTCTACAGGAACCATGGCCTGCTTATAGCCCCGCTGGTCGCATGTAGTTTTACAGCAAGCACATAGCAAGCACATATATTTAAGATCCCACATCGTCATGATCAATCACTATTCCAATCCTTCAACCAACAAACAATGCATGCTAAGACAGGGGAACCACGCTTAATCGAACATCGACCCAGACCGCAAGTTTCTTTTCTAGGTCCCTGGTCATGTGAAAGGCATCGTGTTTGTAGTTCTCTGTTGACGCTTCTTCGTGAGCCGCAAATAAGGCCACCCGCGACGCTTCGCGAACAATTCGGCCCATTCAATCTAGACCTTCACCGCGAATATCCCGCGCCAAGGTTCGGGATCATGGATTCTCGGGTGTTCTGCATAGTGGACTACCTGGCTCGTGCAACTGGGCCAAGGGGAAAACCCGATCTGGGAGTCGAGGCCTTTCGAATCACTTCGACGTATTCCAGCCACTCGGAGATCAAATAATGGAATTTTGCTGGTCAAGTTTCACGGCTCGACGCCGGTGACCCGGTCACGAAGAATCCTGTCGCTCTACGGGCCTCCGCGTCCTGTATTTTTGGGGCACGGCATGGAGGAGCACCACATATCTTATCCGAATCCGACGTTGCCTCAGACTCTTCGATCCAACTGCATGAGAGGACTGTGACAGTATCTAGCCTTTTCGCTAATTACGCGTTTCGTCTTGGATTGGCGTGATTCCGTTTCATTTTATCCACGCATGCGATAGCGAACGCTCATCGAGGTCGTACCCCAGACGAGCCTTTGCTTTTTTGTTATCGAGGTTCGCCCCGAGTGTCGGGTCCGCGTAGTAGACGTACCGATGCATTCCAGGATCAGGGAGTCGGGTAGGGGCATGAAGAATGGTGTCGCTTGCCGCGCGTGCATTAATGGAACGCTGGCACCCGTTACTGACGGCCCAAAACTACGCTATGTCGGAGATAAATTTGCAGCAGCCATCCGTCGCTACTGGTCAGGGCGACTATGGCTTCTGGTACCAGAGCACGGGGAACCGGACCTCGGAGCATGAGAAGAGACGCCGACGTGCCATACAGGCAGCATTTTACATTGGAAAGGACCATTAGTCAATCTATAAGCTACAGTTAGGCACGGAGTATTATTTTGAGGGGTATGTCGTTGGGCATTCACTACACTCTGGATTCACCAGGAAGTTGACAAACCCTTGGCCTTGTCTCACAGTAGAGTTAGAACGAGAAGCATTGATAACGTATCTACACAGGTGTGCATTAGAATTGCCTAAGGACATGTATGAGCCCACCTAGATCGCGGATAATATGCAAGCTGGAAAGAAGCAAAAGCCGAGGCGTAGGGATAATTACGTTGGGATCGAGAGCAGCTACCCGCCGCTACGGTCTGTCGCCTCCAAGTACCGGCTGTGTGTCACGTAAACGGCTGGTAACCGGGGTCTGAATAGTAGGCACCCGACAATGCCGACATTTAGAAGCATGCCGCCGAGCCTCACTTCAGGATAGGCACTTAAGATATATTACCGGCTAGGGGGTAATCTAGAAAGAGGTTTAACCTAAAATATGGATACCATAAGGAGGATTTCAAGAGCTGTGGCCTCCCTGTCCCGAATATGAATTCCCCTAGGTCATGCCGCATTGGAGGTGTTGTTGCGATTTACACCTAGGCGTAATTTACAAGGGAGATGAATGGACATGGAGAGAAGATCGAGATTGTAAAGGCATAATAACAAGTGACTAGCAATCATAATAACGTAAATGTCGAGACGATCTGATGATGATACTCTTATAGAGAGATGCCGTGAGAAAACCTTTCAAATAAGCAACTCACTCTATAGCCCTCATTAGTATGTCTATAGGTGATTATAGTCTTTAACATAAAAATTAAGTTGTCAAAGTCCGAAAGAATAGACCAACTTAATATAATATACCATTTCCAATAGTAACTATTTCTTAAGCTGTTAGTGACGCATGTTTCACCTGTTCAACAAGTAGGACAATAGTAGGATTATCCTTTCGCCCCCGGTAGCATCTCTATCCCAAACCTCCAAACCTAGGTGTCTATTTAGCTTATTCCACGAGAGCGCCGTGAAATAGAAAGCCTCATAGCCTCTCCTATGTTTAGTGCTGCGGCTCATGCCCTATCTCATGGCTTGATAAATTCTCCCACGATATCACTTTCGCATACGATCGAGTCTGTATTCGGATCCTTTTACCGCAGGACGTAGTTATACGAACTCCTTATACATATGCGCAACAGCGCAGCGGCGGAATTCTTATTGGAACCCAAGTGAACGACGCGATCCGACTGAAGAGACGATGTGACGTCTGGTCTTTAATTAGAGCGTCTTTGCTTAGAGGCTGACGAATCATCACTGCCGATATCCGAGGGATTGTAAGGCAACATACTATCTATCTCCTTTTTACACCAGTGCCTTTTTTTTAGCGTTAAACTGACTCTCAAGGACTACGCAATACTTAACTCCCCAGAGGTAATTGGTGGATGGACCGTTGTATCCTTCATCACCAATAGGACGGGTGCGTTTCCCTACGTGCTCAGCTAACCGGCTATGACGGCACCCCGGGTCCGCTGACCGGGGGTATTTGAAATCGGGATCCCCGTGAAGACGCATCACTAGGTGGATATATGATTGGGAAAGGGGATGATGGCAAGAGAGTGCGCTTGACCAACTTTGATTCGTATCTCGTTTCTCATTCTAATTACATCATTACATAGAGTTAAGTATTGTTCTGAATATGATCCGACCCGCGCATACCATCTAATTGCGCCGCCACTTTCAATTAAATCCTAATCATGCAGTCGTGGAGTAGAAACTGTATCAAACAGAACTGCAGTTATCGACAAGATTATCTCGGAGCTGACCTCGATCTGGAAGAGGTAGACTAATGCTTCTTGAAAATGTTGGACCAACCGCCAAAGAGGTACTGGTCGGTGTGTCGCCCACAATGAGTGTAAACATTTACAGTCGGCGCGTGGTGCTTCGAGTGACGAGACTTGTGGTTCGACTCATGACCGGCCAATAATTTGCGACGTTCGTCAGACTGACTGTCTCTGGTGGTGTCCTGCGGGGAGTTAGAATTAGGTTTGGAGGCGGCAGCGTGTAATTGCGAGTAACAAGCAACTCTACCGACCTTGTCTTTCTCCGAATCGTAAGAACTGATGCTGTCCTGACGATGCTTAGATTCGCCAGAGTCCCTGGCGGAATATCCACTTTGAGGCATCTTGAACTGAGGCCGGTGCGAACAAGTTGTCGAGATTGGTATTCTGAGCTGTACACAAAGTAACTCGCAATTCCACCAGACACAAGTTATCGGTATGTGGCTCTCCGGATATCGTAGGGCGTCGGGTCTGAATTAAGTTGTATGTAGGCAGTTATGTAGTAAGCTTCAAGCTTGAGTAAGGCTGCCGATTTAGCAGCTGTGTTAAGGACAATGTGTAAAATGAAGGCCCCCCAGGGTAGCTACTCTCGCACACCTGGTGCGGTTATTTATATGGTGATCGTAGAAGAAGTCCGGCTATTCGGAACGGGTCTGGGTCTCGAGAATCAGAGACAAAACCTCGTTGCCTGGGGTTGGCCTTATATACATGTGTTCTTGACAGGGGAGCTTGGCGGCTCAAGTGAAGGATCGCTTGGCCCAGCATATCGACGTAGGGAAGAATGCTGGTTAGCGTGTGTACGAGGGGCACGAGTAGATAGAGCACAAAGACAGGGTCCTCGGCTAGACGGCCTTCTGTAAGGCCAATTGAAGAATGAGCTATCTATCCTCGTGGCCAATGGGTCTGCGGCTCTAATGCGGGTAAGGAAGGGAAATGAGCAACAGACGGTGTATGACTGAGGCCAGAAGCATCGCTATTACTCACCCCGCAAGTGATCCTCCGTTGCAGGTGGGACAAGCCAAGTCAGCCCTATTAAAATCGACGGTGCCGTGACACGCAGCCAAGACATCATGTATGTAAGTAGGTACGATATTGATTAGGTCGGTATCGAAACCTGGTTAGTGGTTTAACGTTGGGATTTATCTGTATGTACGCTCCCACGTTTGCTGCCTAAAAGAAATGCCATTGTTCGAGTAAGTTGCCTTGTATTGACCGAACTGATAATGTTTTGTTCGCCTGAATTCGCCTGAAACGACACGAGCGCGGGGCATTCCGAAGAGTCAAGTGGTCGAAGACTTGGCTTGCCGAGAGACAAGACACTGAGAACTGAAGCTATTCTGGTATGAACGCAATATGCTACTTTATTCGAAATGGCGGAAGTATATATGATTGGTAACTCGACGCATCAGGAATACCTTCTCATGACTAGATCAGGACAAATGAGCTACGTGCCTTAGGTAGGTTAGATAATTTGCCGGTTCGCATTGCGCATAAAAATGACTTAAGCTGTTAAGGTGCTTGATTCTTTCGACGTTCGCGAACTACTTGACGCCTAGGCTGCTAGGAAACGCTAAAGAAATCTCCATACGGAAATGGCCTATCCAATAGAACCATCTCATAGAATCATCTCATGTTAGATAAGGTAGGTAGTTATTTATGTATATGATGATTCTCACCTGAGATGACTTACATATAGGTATCGGACTGATACTTGTATGCTGTACTTGAAGGTAATATAAATAGGTACGTATAGGCCCTGTCTGCAAGGTGGTGAATGGTTATAATCTTGAGTGATGCATCTTTTGATTCATTCAATTTGTGTAAGTAGTTGGATAATAGCTCATGTTGGTATTACTTGGTCCTAGGGTCTCTGTACTGTCTCGGAGTTATATAATACTGTGAGATAGCACTGTAATGTAAAGAATAGATACTGAAATGATTAGTAACGATGCTCATTGTGGATGCCTCAGGCAGCGAACAACAACTCGAAAATATCGGGCCCGCCAGGTACACATGTACCTAGCAAGCCGTACCCACGCAACCACGTCCCTGGCCCCTTTCCAACGGCTCGTAGGGCTGACCTTGAGTTTTGAGCCGCATGGTAGCGCCGTTGATATGATGCAAATCTGGGGATGGACCTTGGAAATATTTAAAGTCGAAGTTGATCAACTTATAATTCACATTTGATTCTACGTATACCTGTTATGGGCTGTAGATGGGTTGAAAATTAGTCAATTGAATACTATAAATGCAGGCGACCCGAGAAAAGGCTATGAAGAATGCGTTTTGGCATTGTGACTGGAGGATATCGGGAATCTCGAAGATGTCGAGTTTCGATGTTGAGAAATTGGAGTGAAGATGGATGGATTATCCGAGTCGTCAGGGTTGGAGTTGTTATGGTAGTTTTTGGTATGACACGCCATATAATTCTTGGCACATGAATCTTGATTGGACAGAATTTGCTGCACTGTGGGACAATCATGTTTTGCAGTGGACCGTGCATAGCACCCGCCTTGTTGCAGGGGGGCGCAGAAACGCGCGACGAGTGACTACCTAAACCTTACTAAACCCCCCGAAGCTCCTTCATCCTTTCGGCTTTGCGCTTTTCACGCAACAACGCCCTCCTCTTTTTTCACTACAAATTTCGAATTTCGCATTTCGCATCCCACACTTTGCCGCGTCCGGGCTACGTAAATTCACCTTGTCTCACATCCGTCCCGTCAATGTTTGACGCGACTCTGTGTCTCTTTCACGTTACCCCATAGATCATCTTTTTGCATAATACCATTCGAGACACCTGTTGTCCGAATATTCTTTAGATAGTTATATTTCAATCAGCGTGTTCGATCAGTGTGAAGACACTTCTAGATAATCCATCCAGGCCGTCCTCCAATCTCGACTTTTTATGCCCTTCCCTTCCGAATCTATCGCGTTGCCCGTTGCCGTGACTTTTTATCGAATCCGCGTCTCAACCTGAGCTTATTAGTCCGTTCCGTGTCGATCCCCTTGTCTGATAGGGTGGAATAGGATAAACCTAGATACGCTATTGGAACGCCGACAGAGACGACTTATATCACTCAGACGACCTCTCCAAGAAGAGCTGGGGGACCGTGTTACCATATGCCTTGATCCGAATACATGAGACCTGTTGCTGTCTTGGGCTTTGGGCGCATTCCAACGTGAATGGTGGTGATGGTCTACTAGACATTATATTCATTATAACCCTTAAGTTGCTCCCAGGTACGTTCGTTTGGTAATGGGGAGAGTTTCTAAAACACCTGCCTCTACTTTTTCAGTCTAACCCTTTGAAAACTGACAACAACACAAGCTTTCAGCTCTGCCTGTCTCCACTGAGACAACCTCGAGGTATGTTTGCCCTGTCACTCGTTCTTTGGTTCTAATTGTGGTAGGATATATACTAATTTCCTCGAACTATAGCTTAGGCCTCCCATTGCCTTCATCTCCCTTTTTAGTGTTGCTTCTAGTTGAGGCTACAACAACTTGTACCCGCCTGTTTTGATACTTCAAGTAAGTGCTAACACTCCTAGTTCCCACCACATCGCATCATCTACTTCACCAGCTGTGCACTAAATTTACATCTTGACACGCGGGTCTCTGTCCTACTTAGTTTTTTTTTTATCTTCCCCGTTTTACCCTTCCCCCCCTTTCTCTTAATAAACTTGCAAACCACATGGCAACCTCGAGTAGATATTTCTAACTCTTTCATTGCAGTCTTTCTTCGCCTGCTGCTGAAAGACACATCTTTCAAAATGGCTGGCAAACGAAAGCGGGACATCCTCGACTTCGACCCCAACAAGTCTGATTCTGATGATGAAAACTTCGAGCCCGAGGTCGACCGGCCCCGTTCGCGTAAGAAAACTCGCCCGCCCGGAGCAACCAAGTCCACTACTCGTAGCAGGAGAGTCAGATATCGGGGGTCTGACATTGATGATGATGAGCTCGAGGATAGCGAACAAGAGAACTCATTCGGCGAAGACGATATAGAGGACGAGGAGCCTGAACCTCCCATCAACGAAAATACCGGTCGCCGCGTCCGAAAAGCAGCTACCAAACACCAGAACTACAAGGAGAGCTCGGACGAAGACGATTTAATTCGAGATTCGGACGAAGAGAAGGACGATCTTATCAAGGAACCACCTAAGAAATCGCCCCGGCAGAGGAAATTAATTACTCTCAAAGTTCCCCCGCAGTCGCAATCGCAGTCGCGCAAAACGCGCGCAGCCTCCCATGCGACTGCTCCAGTTGGCATTAGAAGAGTCACCCGAGCGCGCACCGCTGAAGCAGAAGACGAGCTGGTCGAGCTATCAAATTCGGGTAAACATGCGAGACTAGCCCGAGGTTCCAAGAGCAAAAGTCCGGAAGCTCTAGGCAGACCGACTCGTAGCGGAAAAGGCATCAAAATGGCAATTCCCACTGTAGTTGAAGAAGATACCCAGGAAGAGAGCAAACCGTCCGAAGCCGACGCCGAAGGTGAAGCTGAAGTTATGCAAGACCCTATCATCCAAGACGCCGATGCGGCCGAGGAAGATGCCGTCGGCCAAGTAGATGATGAAGTGATCGAAAATACCGTTCTAGATCAAGAAGAACCTATAAAAACGGTGGAGGCAAATGACGCCATGGAGATGGACGACGAAGATGACGACGTCCCCGTCGCACGTAAGACGCGCAGCGCGAGGGCTAACCAAACTGCGGCAGCTACCGGAGACGCTCCTGCTGATGATGGTAGTCCCGTTAAGAGAACTCGCGGCCGATTAACTCGGAAGTCTCGGTTCGGAAAGTCCCTCCAAGAGCCTAGCAGCGATTTTGAGCCCGGAAATGAGTCCGCAGAAGATAACGAATCTGGTTCCGAAGCTCATAAGGGTGGGGATGGCGGTGATGACGACGATAATTCAAGTCCCAGCGCCCGTGGTCGAAGACCGTCGAGAGGCAAGGGAAGAAGCTCTGCGAGAAGATCGCAGCGGCGTGCCGAGTCTGGAGACGAAGACGAGGTTGACGAACACGAAGTAGCAGAAGAACTCAGGGATCTCCGACAGGATTCTCGTTCGCGCAGAGAACGCCGCTCGCCACAAATCCTCTTCGAGAAGAAGGCCGAGACTAGACGCCGTAGAGGCCAGCCGGTAAATTATGCGATTGCGCCGCTCAATGCATTCACTGTTGAGCAGGAAGAAGATGACGATGACCCAGCTCCGACACCAGCCCGTCGACGCGGACGTGCAAATGGAGGTGGCGGTTGGGACCACAGTCTCCATACGACTGCTGGCGCTTTGGGCGGCGTCGGTCTTGTCGGCTCGCTGCTCGGTGGGCCATGGGGTACTGGCGCCGCGGGTGGCGCAGATTCCGATAGCAGCGACGACGAGATGAACAATCGAACAGGAATAGCTGGAATGGTGGGTATGACGCCAACCTCGGCGGCTCCCCCTGGCCCGTCCCTCGCAAATGCGGAGGGAGGTGGTCTCCTTACGCCCGCGCCGAATGTCGGTAAAATTAAGAACCCGAAGGCTCTTGCTGATGCGGACCCCCTCGGTGTAGATATGAGCGTCGACTTCAGTCACGTCGGTGGTTTGCAGGGTCACATCGATCAGCTCAAGGAGATGGTGCAACTGCCGCTACTATACCCGGAGCTGTTCACTAGATTCCACGTTACGCCACCGAGAGGAGTGTTATTCCACGGTCCACCGGGAACAGGAAAGACTTTGCTGGCTCGAGCCCTCGCAAACACGGCTGGCATCGGCGGCAGGAAGATCACCTTCTATATGCGCAAGGGTGCTGATGCCCTCAGCAAATGGGTCGGAGAGGCCGAGAAGCAGCTACGTCTTCTATTCGAAGAAGCTAGAAGAACGCAACCTAGCATTATCTTCTTTGACGAGATCGATGGACTCGCCCCCGTTCGGTCCAGTAAGCAGGAGCAGATTCATGCGTCGATAGTATCTACCTTACTCGCTTTGATGGATGGCATGGACGGTCGCGGCCAGGTGATAGTCATCGGTGCTACCAATCGACCGGATAGCGTGGATCCTGCCCTCCGCCGACCGGGTCGTTTTGATCGAGAGTTCTACTTCCCTCTACCCGACGTGGACGGTCGCAAGTCGATCATCGATATACACACCAAGGATTGGGGCCTCACCGACGAGTTCAAATGGTCTCTGGCTAAGGAGACGAAGGGTTACGGCGGTGCCGACTTGCGTGCTATGTGCACCGAGGCTGCTCTCAATGCGATCCAGCGAACATACCCGCAGATTTATATGTCCAAGGAGAAGCTTGTCGTCAATCCAGAGAAGATCAACATACACATGACCGACTTTATGCTCTCCAAAAACAAGATTGTGCCTTCTTCGGAGAGATCCGCGATATCCGGGGCCGCTCCCTTCCCGAAACCTATCGAGCCTCTCCTCCGAGATCAATTTAAGACTATTACCAATCTCCTGGATGGCGTCTTTCCGCGCAAGAAGAAGGTGACGGCTTTAGACGAGGCTATGTTCGAGCCTTACGACGATGAAGACTTTGGTTTCGGCCGAGAGGCCCTGCAGCAGGAGTTCCATAGATTTCGTGTTTACCGACCGCGACTTTTAATATGCGGCTCTCAGGGAATGGGACAGGTTTATATCAGCGCTGCTATCCTCCACTACCTCGAAGGTGTCCACGTCCAGAACTTCGACATAGCAAATATACTTGGTGATCCCTTGGTAAGTGGTGCAAGGCATCATTAAAATAGCTTCTCTTGGATAGCAGCTAACTTGTATACAGCCTGCCGAGCAAGTCTTATTCGGGCTTTTCGCCGAGGCCAGACGCCAGAAACCCAGCGTCATCTTTATCCCTCACGTTGACATGTGGTATGAGACGTTGGCCGGACCGGCGCTCACCGCGTTCATGTCCATGCTCAGGACGATACAGCCTACGGATTCCATCATGGTCGTAGGTACCGCAGAGAAGGAGCTGGAGCAGATCAGTCCCGATCTCAAACGCGATATCTTTGGATGGTCTAATTCCAACTTTGTGGAGATTGCTCGGCCCGCGAAGGTGAGTCTAACCTTTTTGTAGAATGGATGGCGCGAAGCTAACAGGACATAGGAAAATCGACGTGAATACTTCGATAGGATCCTGGGGCATATTAGACGACTTCCTAAAGACTTTCCCGAACCGACCAATCGAAAAAGGAGGGTGCTGGAAGTGCTTCCCGTGGCCCCGCCGCCCCCGCCTAAGCAGATGACTCAGGAGGAGATTGATGCCGAAAACCTGCTGTACAGAAAAGCTCTCAACTTGTTGAAGATCCATCTGCAGCCTATCATGGACCAGATCAAGCGCAAATATAAGGTCTTCCGATCTCCTATCATACCCTATTCGCAGTATCAATACCTCTTCGACGAAGCAAATCCGAACTATGTCAGACCCGACGTGGCAGATGCTCCGCCGCGTCCCTATGTACTTTCTCAGGACGCGGAGGGAGCCCCGGGCCTCCTCGAGACAGCAACGGGCAAGTTTTATTACAATCTCGATACGGTGACAATCGAGACGAGGCTCGCTCACGGTTACTACGTTAACCCATGGATATTCTTGAAGGACGCAAAGTCCTTTGAGCATGACGCAAAGAACCTCGGCGACAAGGCTCTTTGGCTTAAGGCTGACGAACTTGCTACTAACGTGAGCGTGGACGTCTCCGATATCAACGATAAACTCTCTAAGATCGACTGGGATGGAGAGTGGAAGAAAGAGCAATTCCGGAAGAGGGAATCGAAGCGAATACGGAGAGCCCGCAAGAGAGAAGCGCTTGCTAACCAAGCCGGTGGAAAATCCCTGCAGGGTCCTCAACCGGCAGGGTTGCAAAAGTCCCATACGACAACAGCCCATTTCCAAGTTATCGGCGAGGAAGCTAGCACGAATGGAGGGAGCTCACTTAATCATGACAATACGAACGGGACATCCGCAGCGTCTCGAGTTCTGGACGACGATGCTACCATGACTGATATTGATAGCCAGCCGCCCCCCGGTGGCCTAAACATACCCATGCAGCCACCGTCTCAGTGGCCCCGCATGTCTATTCAATCCTTACACACATCCATACAAGCGACGACAGGAGGTACGAACCAGTTCTCCCAGATCTCAGCCGTGCAGTCTCTTCCTCCGGGTGTATCGCCGTCAGCGTTAATTAACGACGCGTCTACCACGAAGACATCGGATCCTTCCAACCGATCCTCCAATTTCAGCACGCAGGCTACCAATGGAATTCATCACCAACAATCCAGCCCTGGCGACAACCTTCCGGATACTCAACCGTACCCCGGAAATAGCCAGGCTACGTCCAGCGACGAGCAGTGGCCTCATTCTCAGGCTCACGGCCTCTTGCGGGGATATATTCCCCAGCCCGGGTCGTTCCACGGATCTCGCGCGCAAGCATCGCCTGCAGGTGGGAAGTCGTCACATGCCCCGAGCATGGCAAACTTACTAAACGACCCTCCCCTCGACGAACCGTCGCAATCGCAATCGCAATCGCAATCGCAATCGCAGCGCCAGTCGGGCGTGTCGTCGGCTTCTCAGCAGGTCGAGCTGGACGATTCTCAGGCCTATTACTTCTTGGAGAGACTCACCGAGCGCACATCGGGTTGCACTATTGAGCAGTTGCAGCAGATCTACCGTGAGATGATGGTAGAGCTATGGAGGACGAGAGGCGAGAATAACCGCATGAAAGTACTTAACTCGGTCACCCGTGTTTTCAATGAGGCTATTAATGAGATCGAGTCGATCCAGGGGGAGCTCCAACCCAGCCAATAGTTGTTGATAGGACCAACGATATCGGCTACTATCCTCACGACTGGGGGTTGAGAATTTCGTGGATATATCTGAAAAAGGTTGGCCAACCTCCCTATGTAATTATAAAAAGACCATTAGAGGCGAAGGGCCTGAAGGAACTGCGTGGTAAGGTGGCGGAATATTGCATTGTCCGCAAGACAATCCGGACGCTGGAAACGTTTATGGCTTACTGCTTATGAAGGCTTTGGCTCGCGCCTGATTTTTTATAATACGCCTAGTTCACGCCTTAGGTAGGACTGATATATTGGTGTACTGAAAATACCATCTTCTTTTTAATAAGTTGATACTTGAATAACGTGGTTATCTTGTCGGTTACTTTCCGGTTCTACGTCAGACTACCTGTAATGCACTTCGAGTTTTAGGTAGGGATCGGAAAATAATAAGCACGGTAACCTACCTCATGGGGATAATGTATGAGGTAAACTTCGCGGTACTTATCCTAACACAAGCCACGCGTAGCATAAACCTTATATAGAGGGTAGCGGTTTTAATATGTAGCCACTCATCAATGAGCCCGCCCCTTTGATTTGAATTTAACATCTCTCACATCTACCTAATTCATATGCAGGACGATTTGTAGTTCTAATGTCTTGGGAACAAGACGATTAATTAAGAAGAAGAAACATGTACTCTGTTGATGCTCTTCCAATGTATTAGGTATGTACCCTTGAAATTCCGTATAGCCCGGATTCACCTCACACCATATACACTTAGTTAATCCATATACATAACTCATACACCACAACCACCCACGAGTCTTGCTCACGACTGCAAAACCGTACCTGGCTCCGGTAGCGTCAAGTTCAAAAGATACGCGTTGGCCGCGGCTGCTGTCGCGCCACCTGACAAGTAACTCGTGTGGCCGGTGCCGTTACGCGTAAGCAGCACAGAGCGGTCGCTCCCGATCTCCGCGTGTAGACCTAGTCCCCAAGCGTAGCTCGTCGAGGGATCGAATGTCGACTGGAGCATCAGGATCTTTACGTCGCCCTTGTATGATACGGGCTTCGGCGGGTTCGTCAAGGCGGCGGGCCACCCGATGCACGAGGTCTGGATCTTGTAGCTCTGGCATACACCCTCGGTCAGGGGATTGAAGATGGCGCCTAGAGTTGCTTTGGCCTGCACGTCGCTGAGAGAGGACGAGGCGTGCGTCCAATCTTGGCAAGCGATTGCTGTGCCGGCGAGTAGCGAGGAGTCCTCGTATGCGTCACCTGTTACTAGGGGCTGCTGCTGCGAGATCAACGTCGCGTTGCCGGCGTCGGCGTCGGCGATGGCTTGGCCCAGGGAGGGCCACAATGCCGGCGAGATTAGGTATGGTTGGACGTTGAACCGTATATCTTCCTCCGTCACGGTGGAGCGGCAGACCTTGTCGTCGCAGCCAGGGGCCGGGATAGGAGATTTAGCTGCCTTGGCTATTATGCTTTCGAACTTGGCCCGGACATCCTGGCCGCTTAGCGGGCACACGTCCTTGGACGCATCGGCGCACCAAGCGAAGAAATTCTTGAGCGTGGCCTCGTACGTGGATTCCTCGATGAGAAGGTTGCTGACCTCCGATTGAGAGTGCTGAAGATTGCCGTCCAGTACTAAAGCGCGGATACCGTCAGGGAATAGCTCGGCATACTGACTGAACAACTGCGTGCCGTACGATAGGCCCAGGAAGTTAGCCTTCTCACCGCCCAGAGCCTTGCGTACGGCCTCGTGGTCCCGGACAGCGCTGATAGTGTCAACGAAATCGATTAAGCGACCTGTCTTAGCACGACAACTCTCGCCCAGATCCTTGTTATACGCGACGAGCGCGTCATACTCGGCCTGCGTCTTGGGAAGCCACGTAATGCGCTTATTGTACGCGGCCGTGTCACACTGCACCGGAGTGCTGAGGCCGACTCCTCGAGGGTCCAGACCGATCACGTCGAAGCGGTCGAGGATCTGCGGGTCTACGACACCTGGTACCGTGGAAAGCGTCGCGACGAGGCTGGTGGCCTGCCCTCCTGGGCCGCCCGGGTTGACGAATAGGTTTCCGATTCGATTGCTCTTGTCGCGAGCTTCGATGCGGACTAGACCTAGCTCTATCGTCTCATTGCCCTGCGGGTGCGCCCAGTCTAACGGCACGGTATAGGTGGCGCATGTGATGTTAGAGGGGAACGAATCCGGACACGGTCCCCACGAGATGCTATCCGTAGAATTTGATTTCACGCTTCTCTTGGGAAGTAGCTTCGACCCGGTTAGTTTTAGCGAAGGTACTCCTGGAATAGTCACAGTAAGTGCCGAGCTCAAAGTCGCAAACGCGAGGAGCGCCTGCGTAAGTACAAGCGAGCGCCCCATGGTAGTGTCTTTTCGTCTTGGATGGTCAGTATAAGTGTAGATAAAACAAGAGACCTCATGCGAGAAGAGCAGGTTCGCTTGTATATGTACACCTATGTATAGCTCTCCCGTCCTACACGAGCGACGTTAATTATTAGGTAATTACGTCTTACAGAGGCTTGGGACAAGCAAGCTAGAGCAGCTTAAGGCAAGATTTCGAGGCGCGGCGTCCTGGCCAAGCCTTTGTCTAGCTGCGACGGTTCCTTGTCGATCCTACCGACAGTATGTAGCGATTGGGCAACGTTGTAATCGATAACATCTCAGACAGGTAGCTGAAAGTTCGGCAGAGGCAGAGGATGATTGTTGCCGAGTTGCCAAGTTGCCAAGTTGCTATGCTACGGTGTAATTTTATAAAAATTTATAAACCCTGCCAACTCTTCAAGCCTAACGACACAGCCGCAATTTATAGCGGTAGTGTACATCTATCTCGATTAATAAACTACGAAACAATATAGTCCTGTGTATAGCTGATGCGATCGGTTAGCTTTTAGGATTTCTCAAGTTTAGGGATTCAAATTTACCTCTTATATTCAACCAAATCAACCGAGCATGATTGGGAAATAAACCGACAATCAAGAGAAACGATCGGGGATACCATTCACGATCATAATTAAAGTATGTTAGGTAGACTTTCGATACTCGCCTCTGAGAAGTGACGATATCACCTATAGAAAGAATAAGATAAGTCAAATTGGAATGATTGTACACGTTTTACACCTGATGCGTACCATCTGGTCACTAAACTCTTTAACTAGCACAAGGCGTTATCAAAACTTGAATATCTAAGTTAAGGAGCACCCATCATAGATCGGAAATATACATTTTCGGGGCAAGAAGTTTATACCTAACATATGCCAAGACGGAATGTGAAAGTCCCTTTACCCTCCTAGGTATCGCAAGCCATCATGTCAGCAGCATGCGGCTGACTGCCGTCTGTCTCGGTGCTAGGATTTAACGTCTTGTAAGTCGGGGTGCTGTGTTTATCAGATGCTTCGAACCCGTCTACCATATGTTGGAATTAAAGGAGAGCGCTTCGGGGATAAACTCTCTAGCTCCATGCAAATTCCGGATCTTGCATCTCGTCACCAAATCCAGTTTCAACCGCCAGAATATCTATCCAGGAGGTACACAGTGGCCGTTAATGGCGGTTCTGTTATACCTAGAAATGCTTTGGGTACATGAGGGCTTGGTGAGTAATCGGATGTCCAGCACGGACGAGATTGGTGGTAATAGATGAAGAGCCAGTCTTCTCCATGAGGTTATTATGTTAGGTACCTAAGATATATTAGCCAAATAGCTACGGTCAATAAATACCTATCCAGAGGTCCCCTGAACTTGTTCTCTCAGGTAATAGAACTGCACACTGCCAATTTATCTTTATGCTCTTACGAAACGATATGGCTACCCAGATCCGCGATACGCAGTTCGGTCACCTCGTACGCTTTCTGTCTAGAAACAAACTCTTCCGATACCCTGACGAGGTTGATTCTTCCCTATGGAAAAGGCCTCTACAATGTGATGCAAACCAAACATCTGTATCGCCGGCAGAACAAGCCAGTGACACAAAAGGTCTTGACCAGCAGAGTCCCAGCACGGCTAATGTTGGTGAAAACGACGGAGAATTCAATCTGATAGATTGGTATGGACCTGATGATCCAGAGGTATTTACTCCTAGCTCCGATTATCAAGGAGAAAAGACCGGGCGTTTAAGTTAACACCCACTTCAGAACCCTCAAAATTGGTCCAGAAACTGGAAGCTGCTAGTCGCCTTCCTCATGTGCATCCTCAACTTTTCGTTCTACATCGCAAGCTCGATATACGTCCCCGGCATTCCCAGCATCATGGAAGACTTCGGCGTCAGCGAGATCGTGGCTACGCTAGGACTCTCCCTATTCACGCTGTGAGAACCGCCAACATCCCCCCCTCCTCAAGCTCAACCTCAGCCCTAAAGAGAACAGCACTGACTAATGCTCTGCTACTGGTAGCGGTTACGGGCTAGGTCCCATGCTCTGGTCTCCCATGTCCGAGATCCCCCAGCTCGGCCGCAGCCCCCTTTATTTCTGGACATTCCTCGCCTTCATCCTGCTCCAGCTCCCCACGGGCTTCGCCGTCGACATGCCCATGTTCCTCGTCTTCCGCGTCCTGACCGGTTTCGTCGGCAGCCCGCCTCTGGCGACCGGCGGTGCTACTATCATAGACATGTACGACCCGGCCAGCGCCGGATACGGGATCTGCATATTATCGTCGTTCGGGGTCCTCGGGCCCGTCTTCGGCCCGATAATTGGGGGGTTTGCCGCGCCGGCGGAGGGCTGGCGGTGGACGATTTGGATATTCACGTGGCTGTGCGCGCTGGTGGTCGTCCTGCTGTTTTTCTTGCTCCCCGAGACTAGCGCTGCGAATATCTTGTATAGGAGGGCGAGGAGGCTGAGGAAGATAACTGGTGATGCCCGCTTCAGGAGTCAGTCCGAGATCGATGCTGCTCGTCACACATTAAAAGACCATCTGGTTGTCCTAGGCAGGGCTTTCACGCTGACTTTCTCCGAGCCCATTGTTTTCTTTATGGACTTATACTAGGCACTTCTCTACGGGATTCTATTCCTGTGGTTCGAGTCGTTCCCTCTGGTCTTTGGAGACATCTACGGGTTTAGCACTGGTGCGCAAGGATTGGCTTTCCTTGGGATCTTCATCGGCGCTCTTGTCACCGTGCCCCTATTCTTGCTATGGATTAAACACGGTGTAATCCCGAGATTCACCAAGCCGTCTTTCAAGCCGGAAATGGTGCTCCCGCCAACATTCGTCGGTGCCATTTCCCTTCCGATCTGCCTCTTCTGGTACGGATGGACGGCGCGGGAAAGCGTACACTGGATCTTGCCTATTATAGGCTCTAGTTTATTTACTGTCGGTGTGGTCACGCTATTCAATACGGTGTTCAACTACCTAGGGATCTCGTACCCGGCATACGTCGCGTCGATATTTGCAGGGAACGCACTCTTCCGAGCCTCGTTTGGGGCCTCATTCCCTCTTTTCGTAAGTTTTACGTCGTAGTCCACTCTTGATACATGGCTAACACGTATATGCACCTAGGCACGAGAGCTCTTTCGTCAACTCGGTATTGGCCCCGGCAACTCACTCCTTGGCGGTATTGCTATCTGCTTCATTCCTATTCCTTTCATCTTCTATCGGGTGAGTGTACTTCAGAAACCCCTTCCTAAATCAAAGCTAACCATTAGGTAGTATGGTGAAAAGATTCGCCACATGAGTAAGAATGCTCGGCATGATATCTGAAGAATATTTGTAACGTAGAAACTCGGAGTCTGATTCCTAGTGTTATATTTTGAATCGTTCAAATAATTACTAAAAAGAGGGATAGGAAGGTTGATAATAAGGCATAGGATTTCAAGTCTGAAGAACGGCCGTACGTTGGTGATAGTATAGCAATTCGAGTTGTAATGAGAGTTGTTAGTAGGTAGACACTATTAGTTTGGAATTATTTAATGAGATAGCAACTATATATAGACTGACTCGTCTTTCTAATCTCTCCATGCTTGAATTAACGGGTTGACTGGAGAATCTATAAGTACGCCTAGAAAACACATAATAAATAATCCCCCCCTCGTCGAAGATTCTTGATGTACGCTCTTACAAGTTTTAGGTAAAGTTTTCTCCCGTGATAATTTCGCTACGTGAAATCTCAAGATTCCTAGTGACGTCGTCGAGTATATCCAGATCTCCGGGTTTTCACCGAGCCGGACTGTAAGACTGTGACCAAAGACGCCGCACTTAGTTCGGCATATGGGTCCACGGGGTTAACTCGCTCGGATTGTTTCTGTTTGAAGTCGATTGTACGAGATTCCGATCATCTCCGGTATTATCCCTAAACTCACATTTCGGCGCGGCTCGCATTCATAGAGTCCTTCCAGTATACTGCTGAATTAGGAAATCCCATCAGGAACCCGATCGGTTTCTTCCTCGCGTTCGTAGATAGACGTTGGCGTCAGCAATCCGGTAGTATACCGGTTCTAAGTAACACAACGCATTTTGGCGCTTCGGAAACCCTCTGGTAGACGTCCATCAATCGACGCTTACTCATTGTACATATTCATTCATGCATGAAATTGTGCTAGGAGATATACTACGCCAGTATGAAGAAGGGTAAAAGTCCCGCATCGTCTTCGGGATATAAAGAGGTTGAGATGGAGACCATCATAGAAGAGATTTATCCTCGCCATCAGCATCATCAGTCAACCAAGCAAATATACCAATAAGGTCATCATAGTCTTTTCACACCAGCTTTCAACTATAATCTAAGGAGTCTTAAGACTTGTTCTCGCTTCGATAAAATATTGAACAACCTTCCTTGATATCCGAACCTAAACCGAACATCAGTATCAGTAACACTTACAACATGAGCAATCAAGTCCAGTCCATCGAGCAGTTCGACTTCATCGTCGTCGGGGGTGAGTTTAACATAATAAAAAAGGGACACGAATCCTCAACTGACACCATCTATAGGAGGTACCGCTGGTTGCGCCGTCGCCGGCCGTCTAGCCGAATCTCCCAACGTCCGCGTCCTGGTAATCGAGGCCGGTATTGGCAACCCGAAAGACATTGACGCCATTACTACGCCGGCCCGGGCTTTCGAGCTGCGCGATAGCAAGTATGACTGGGCCTACAAGACGACCATGATCGACCGTCCCGACTACACACGCGTTGAGAAGCCCAACACACGGGGCAAGACCCTTGGTGGTTCTAGCTGTCTCAACTATTACACTTGGATCCCCGGCTCGGCCGGAACCTTCGACGACTGGGCTCCTTATGGCGGAGACGAGTGGAAATGGGATAATTTCCGGAAGTACCTTTATAAGCCGGCGACCTACCACGACGACAGGACCCTTTTCAGCGAGGAGCTGAAGTACATCGGTACCGACGGCCCTATCCCCGTCTCGCATTCAGATCTAGTTCCTGAGATAAAGGGCTTCCGAGATGCCCTGACCAAGGCATGGACTAGCAAGGGTGGGGAGCTGACAGATGACGTCCATAACGGTACCATGCGTGGTCTCTGGAAATGCACCAACAGTATTTACAACGGCAAGCGTTCCTCGAGTTGGCTTTACCTCGAGGGTAAGACGAATATCACTGTACTTTCCGGCACCAATTCCAAGCGCTTGCTCATCGACGCCGCCACGAAGAAATGTGTCGGCGTCGAGGTAATTCTACCCTCAGGCGAGACGCACAGCTTCAAGGCCAAGTACGAAACCATCGTCTCATCCGGCGTGTTCGAAAGCCCCAAGTTGCTTATGCTCAGCGGAATTGGCCCCAAGGCTGAACTGGCTAAGTTCAACATCGAGACGATCGTCGATTCACCACATGTCGGCCAGAACCTGCTAGACCACCCTATCCTCCCGCACGTCTTCCGTATCGAAGATGGCAACGGATTTGACCAGCACCTCCTTAGGGCCGGTCTTGAGCACGACGCGGCTGTCAGTTCTTACCGATGGAAGAACCAAGGTCCCTACACATCCGGTCTGCTCGAACTGGTCGGTCTGCCGCGTATCGACGAGCGCCTGATGAAGTACCCCGAGTACGTAGCCGCCAAAGAAGCCAACGGGGGTCTCGACCCCTTCGGTCCCGCGGGTCAACCGCATTTCGAAATCGACTTCGTCCCCATGTTCAGCGACGCCTTCCAGTGGCACATCCCGACTCCGCCTAAGGGGGACTACATGACAGTCATCGTGGACCTGCTACGGCCCCAGAGTCGATCGGGCACAGTAGAGCTCAACAGTGCAGACCCGCTGGCGCAGCCTAAGATCAACCTAAACTTCTTCGCCGAAGACCTGGATATCCTGGCGATGCGCGAGGGCATCCGCTGGGTAGACGACGTGCTGATGAATGGCGAGGGCATGCGCGATATGATCCGCGAGGACTACCCGTGGCCGATGCCGCGGACCTCGGACGCGGCGATGGACAAGATGATCCTCGAGCGCTCGCAGACGGGCTTCCACCCCTGCGGAAGCACACGCATGGCGCCTAGCATCGCAGAGGGCGTCGTCGATGGTAAACTCAGAGTGTTTGGTATCGAGAATCTAAGGGTCATCGACGCGTCTGTGATCCCGGTAATCCCAGACTGCCGTATCCAGAATTCGGTCTATGCGATTGCCGAGAAGGTATGTATCCCTGAGCGAGCCTTTTCTCTGAGCTTGTAACTAATTGGGCGTTTGTAGGGTGCCGATATGATCAAGGCCGAGTATTCAGAGCTATACGCTTAGATCTTTCTCTCTAGGGGATGAGATATATACGTCGTCTTCGAATAAGAGTATAGTGATCGAGGGTTAAGAAACAGCTGGCTTAAGTCTGCGTTGACTAGGTACCTATTGATGAATCATGGCGGAGACATGGTAATGAGTGTGAGGGAGGAGAAAGACAAAGAGAAGAGGATTCCACTCGGCGCATATTACTACTTTCATTCCATTGCTATACTCTATAAGCCGATTTCTTAATGCAAATATGCAGTTTAATTTATTCGAACGTCCCGATACCAGCTTAATAGGTGTCCCTAATGCGGGAGTGCGCAGTGCGCAGCAAGTAAACGAGTTGTCATTGGTTGGTTCTGTGATTGCGTGTAGGTCGTACGAGAAGAAGAGATGGCTTCGGATTTCTCATATCTTCATACTTTCTTTTTTCACTTGGATTTTCACTTCATACGACGGTATTCTGCGTCTTACCTGTAGGACGTCCGTTGAGGCGTTTAAACAGGATATGAAAGGCGTGTCAGCAGTAACGTCCAGCTCCGTCTGATATCACCATGGTCCATGATGCTATAACTCAAGGATGCGGTAAGAGACCACGCTGTGAACGCTTAGCTTTACCCGCATCCACGCTGTCGGTAATACCACCAACATGGGTCGCTCGGGCGGCCCTGAGCCTTCAGATGGAAGACGACCGGGAAGAATAATTACCCTATGCAAAATGCAGTCTCCCCGATAGCCACTCCACAATGTTTACATTTATCTACGATTCGATTGGTTCGAGATGTTTTAACTAAACCCAAGGTGACCTTTGATAATAAGGCTACTCGGAGACGGCCTCCTTATTCACATGTATGTAATATGAAAACGGGTAGAAGGATGACTTGGCCAGCTGATCGTCTCTCAATCCGCGATCCGTTCCATTATCGGTTCCCGGCCGAAGCCTTCATATGAGCACATGACAGAGGCCTTCGGCGACGACAGCGAGGAGGAAGTATGCTTGGTAGCGATAATGAACCGGCAGAGCGGATCCAATAGTGTCATAACTGCCCTGATGGGATCTGGGGATGATTTTATTCAACTCGATTTTTTGCTTTGGTCTGTTCATCCCGTGGGGCGTTGGCGCTGGGCGGATCGAGCGTTACTGAATCCGGCCAGGCGTCAGCGCTTCGGTGAGGCCACATCATCCCATCGTATCATGATCGATCACGCAGAATCACCCCACGTCTAATACCTCTTGGACTTAGACGACGAGAAGACGGAAGAAACGACAATGACTATAGACGAAATCAAGAAGCTTATAATGTCACCGTTAAGCCTGCCATCTTTCGATCATGTTTCATCACAGCCTGCACAACACAATCAAGCTTATATTATATCCACAACTTCATTCGGAGCTACTGCATGTACCTTCATTACTCGCTATTAAGGACACCACTTCACCACAAAGCCTCTATCCACCCAATCAAAACCATGGCCATCACACACCCGCAAGCGCATATGCACGCAGCCGCCAGAGCTGTCCCACCCGCAGCACCCAAGCTCGGGCCTGTATCATCAAGGTGAGGATACCCCAATAATATATACCCCTGGCTTTGGTCTAGACTCGCTGTGGATATACGCTAACATCTAGCATAGAATACTACCAAGTCTCGTAGTAATCGGAGTTGGTTCGTCTCACTCTACTTAACACAGCACTTAATATGTTTCGTTCGTTCCCATTTACTAACTAACATTGGCCAAAACAGCTTATACCGTCGGTTCCTACGTCCGCTCGCAGCTACACCGCGAATCCGGCACCATGGACCGCATCTTCTCCCAGCAGAACACGCCCGAGGTCGAGGCGGCGCGAAAGGCAGCCCTGCAGGTCGAGGTCAACGGGGATCCGCGAAACAATCTTTTTAATTTCCTGGGCTGGTCGTGAATTACGAGGGGATCACGGGGGGAAATATAATTAACTGGAAGATATGGGATCATCTTCAAAAGGGAGACTAGAGTAGGTCACTCTGAGTCTCTTACTACTACTACTACTACTTATTATACCCGCTTCGCATAGCTGGGGCGTTTGGGGAACTATTTTGCTTGGAATAACATTATAATGCGCCGGTATCGTTCGAGATCGAGATACCCGGTGTACCCTGTATATGAAAATATCATATTTACATCTCGCACAGAGCGTAATTGAACTTTCATCTATATTTATTGAAATATATAATATATAGGTATGGGACGTCGTATCAATCCCATGTGACTAGGCGATGAAACATTGAGTAACACTCCGGCCGTGGTCTACTGAAACCTCTTGGGTTCCCGTTCTTTGCCACCGCTACCGCTGTGCTTGGCGGCCGTCGATTGGGGTACAGCATGTCCGCTCGCCGTAACCGCATTGTCGTCCGCGTCTTTGTTTATGCCGATAGGGTTATCTGCCGCGCTGTGTAGATAGGCCGCGCCGATTCCGCCGGAAGCATCTTGTGATTTTTGGGCCGGGTTGGGCACTGATGGGATCGTGTTCTGTTTTCCAGCATCACCGGGAACTGCGGTTTACTTTGTGTAAGCCACACGGCCGGGGTAATCGAAGGGATAGAATAGAAGAAATATGGTCTTTTTAAGCCGAAATTCGAGGATTAACTTACTGCTAGTGCCGTCCTTGGCCATTTGATTGAGATCTCCGCCTTCGTTAGACATTTTGCTTATTACGTTGGTGAGAATACGAGATCCGGGTATCGATGCGAACTTGGAAATGTAACTAGACGTAAGTAAATATTGATAAATGGAGTTGATATAAATAAGAGTAGAAGAATCGATATATAGGCTGAGGCTTCCAGGGAAAACTAAAAAATGAACACCTTGATATCGCTATCGTGATGTCACCATTGTATCCCTTTCCCGCCTTTCTACGTCATACAGCCAATTACTCAAGGGTTGCAGCGTCGCAATTACTAAACAGATATCAAGGCTGATCTCATTGTTTGCCTTATCGGGATGCCTGGATGCGTGGCAAGCTATTGTCGTGATCTCACTACTATAGGGATATCAGTGGGACGAACTCTTGGTTTTTGTTAAGGGGCGTGATATCGCTGACGCTTTGCGCACAACTAATTACTATTATACTATGTCCATGGAGACGTCTAGCCATCTTGAAGCTGTCCCGTGCTCCTTTAATATTCCAGGTATTTATTATATCCTGTCAAGCAAGCTCTTCGGCGTAGACTTTCCTGAATCTCCAAGTCCAATTTCTTTAACTAGGACTCTATTCCCAGTTGGCTTCTAGGCATTTGGGGTAAACGCCTAAACTTCACTGGCAGTCTGGGGAATGTGGGGAAGCTATCGTACCTTAGCTAGCAAAAAGGCCTGGTTTATACCATGAGGGTTAACTTGACATCGGAAGCGATATACCTCGAACCTAAGCAAGGCGATTATCCAATCTATCGGGTCAGTGTCTACCTAACGAATAACACCGAGCGACGCGAGTCTAGTTTGCATACCATTCACCATTGAGCTCTTAAAGCTAGTCTCGAACATGGTGTTGAAGTTGTCATCGACGATAGTCTTTAACAGCCGAGATAGCCGTTGTAGCTACAAGTAGTAATTTAGAACAATATGTCAATTACAAGACGTCCGGGCACCTGTTCAAGTACCTACTATTCTCTATGAAGCTATCATCGCGTTTTTCTCATCTCTTTAATGTTCGGAATCCTCGGCGGGATCTGCGAGAGGTCGGATCATTGTATCCGAAAATAAACCAAATAATTTAGTGTGGACAGTATCGCGAGGGAGCATTTACCTTTTCATAGTCTACGGAGGTGTAGAGGGAACATATTAAAAAAACGTAAATTTTGTTAATACACTTACCCCCATCTGATTTTTTATTAGTATATGCAATTATCAAATATAGCCAGTCTTATCTAATCAAATAGCCTCGTACAATATAGCTACCTGATTGGCCAGCCAGCTAGCCTTATACCTCCAGACCTTATATTGAGATCGAGACTTTGTTTTTAATCTTTTACCTTGCAATGATTAGATGCGACCGTATAGTCTTTACTTGATGTATACGACCGATTTAAATTAATGTAATAAGACGTATAGGCCATGCATCGACGTTGAATTAAATTGAATTGAATAAGAGGCCATATAAGAGGGTGTAAGATAAGGGTATGTATTGCTAGGAGGGCGCGCATCGTATAAAAGGAAAAGATGCCCCTTAAAACACTTATATACTTTTAGCCGCTTTGAGACCGATATAGGTCCGAATCGCGTGCGGTTAAGTTTTATATTTTCTTTATTTTTTAATTGAATTTAATAGACTTTTTAAAAAGTAATTGGATTAAAATTCGTAACGTTATTAATAAAAATAAGTAATTATAAAAAAAATAAAAATGGTTTTATTTTTATTTAAATATTAATGTAACGTTATAATGTTTTATTAAATATTATTATTAAACCGTAATTTTATAAATTATATTTTTAAAAATTTACGTATAAATTTTAACGTTTTTTTAATATGTTTTTTTTACATTTTTATAATAATTTAAATAAACGTGTTTTTTTATAAAATTAATTTTTATTAAAAAATAATAAAAAATACTTTATTTATTAAAACGATATATATAAGTCGAAAATAAGATTTTTTAAATCGTTTTTAAATATATTACTTTTTTAATTTTTTTAACGTACGTGTCGTTTAATATTTAATTTTTAAAAATAATTAAGGTTTTTTTAATATTTTTTAAGTTTAATTTAATTTAAAAAAACCTTTTACGGTTAATTAAACGTATTATTATATTAAAATAAAAAAAATTTTATAAATTTAATTTAAAAAAGTAATTAATTATAAATTAACGTAATTAACTTAATTTATTATAATATTTTACATTTTTATATAAAAAAAATAAATTATTTTTTATAAATATATACGTTATAATGTTATATATAATATATTTTAAAAAAGTATATTTATTTTTAACTTTTAAAATTAATTTGTTGGGATAATATATCCTGACCTAACGGCTGCATCGTATGAGGCTATTTACAACCCTCGCAATTAGCTTAGCTGGTAGCTATTTACCAGGGCTTTCGAGCCCTGGTATCCACACCTATAAGGGCTATATACAGCGTACGTAGCCGTACGCTGTATCCCTCTTAGAATATAACAATAAGTCAGTCAATAATAATATCGTGTGTTTCGTATTTGGCTCTTTCTTGTATAACTGTACGTAACCCTGTATAATACTACGCATCATATAGACCTTGTTTATCTGATACTGATTAGTGTCTACCTAACAAGGGTAGATATAGATAGTTAGGAATTTTATTGAGAACAAATACGCCCGTTTTTGGGGTGTTTAAGGCAGGAAAAGACAAGCGTTTCTAGACCTTTACAGGTACTCGGGGCTTGAATTAACGAGCCTATAGCCTCCTGCAATCAATCGGGAAGCTATCGTGTTAATATAAGGAATTCGGGGCTTGACTTGTAAGCCCATAAGATTTTAAGGGTATTTGGGGCTTAATACGTAAACCCACAACATTTGCGTCCATCACGCACAAAAGACCTACTACTATAATTATCGTTACTCGGGGCTTAACTTATGAGCCTATAGCGCCGATAAGCTATCAGGATAGCTTCTTCAACCAGCTTGCTGTACCCAGACAGCCACATACGACAATAGCCAACCCCCCCCCCCTCCTGTCAGCTACCACATCACTTGCAACACTCCGTCTACCTATACAACGCCCAATATGGCTAGGACCTGGGAAAACGTATTCGAAAGCTATATCGCTAGCAAGTATAAGGACTCGGGAGGCCTCGACCTTAGCCTCGATAAAATCGAAATAACCAGTAAAAGAGATATTAATTCGTTTATCGGCACATGGTTCGCTTTCCTCGTTAACCAAGGCCGTACAAGGGAATTTCTTCATAACCACTTTCGAGAATTCTTCGAGTGGTAGACGGCTACACATTGGGCGAAAGCCTCGCCACACCTACGTACTACCTTCGTTAATTATTTATATTATCACAGGGTCTATTACAAAAATCTAAGCCGCCACAACGCTAAGAGGTTGGCGGCACTCGGCAATAGAGACGCCTGTATCAACTTTCCGACCGTACAGGAGTACGAAGAGGCGATTGCTAAAAAGGAGGCTAATAAGGGACTGGTAATTCGAAGGCCAGTTACTACGGCTACCACTAGGCCAGCCGCCACAGCTACCCCTAGCAAGGCACCCTCGAGCAGCAAGAGATAAGGCATCGGACGACCCTATTAGCCGTACGGACTAATTGCCTAGTCGTCAAAAGAGGAGGCTTATACGTAACTATCTTTTATACGACAATCGCAGAGCTAGATGAGGCTCGCGGAGCCGCATACAGCTTATACAACATCAACGTACGAGCTTGTCAGCTACGTTAAATAAGAGATGGAGAGATACGAGGCCTTCTATTACTTATATTACTGATTGCCTATTTGTACGTATAGAGAAAGATTGCCAGTGTGGGATTACGTGTTGGATTACAGGTTACGAAGTTATCTCGAGAGCTATCTCGAGAGCCATTTCGAAGGCTATCTCGAGGGCTATCTCGAGGGCTAATAGGGACTATAGTAGCAGCCGTCAAAAGAGAAAAATTTGCCAGTGTTGGGATAATATATCCTGACCTGACGGCTGCATCGTATGAGGCTATTTACAACCCTCGCAATTAGCTTAGCTGGTGGCTATCCACCAGGGCTTTCGAGCCCTGGTATCCACACCCACAAGGGCTATATACAACGTACGTAGCCGTACGCTGTATCCCTCTTAGAATACAACAATAAGTCAATCAATAATAATATCGTATATTTCGTGTTTAGCTCTTTCTCGTACAACTGTACGTAACCTTGTATAATGCTACGTATCATATAAACCTTGTTTATCCGATAAATTAATTAAATTAAAAGATTTAATTATTAATTTAATTTAATTTTTAATTATTATATTTATATATTTATATATTTTAATAATTTTACGATTTTAATAATTATAATATTATAATTAATATTATTATATAATTTTAATTAATGTAAAAATAATAATTTAAATTATATATTTATACGTTATATTATTATATATTAAAATATCGAAATATTTATAAAAAATATTACGTGTTTTTTTTTTTAAATAAAATAAACGTTATTAAATTTTATTATAATATAATAATAAAAAAACCGGTTTAAATATAATTTATATTATTATTTTTACATTAATTAAAATTATTAAATAATATTAATTATAATATTATAATTATTAAATTTATAAAGTTATTTAAATGTATATATATAAATGTAATGTTATATTAATTAAATTAATATATTTATTATAATAAGTTGTAATAAAGCTTATAAGTATATATTTAATATTTTTTAAATTGTGGCAAGTGACCTCCTACCAATTTTAGCTTAATCTGCAATTACTTTTTTCATTTTAGCACAATGGTACGTCTGGTCAACCGTACTTCCCTTCAGCCCACCTTTTAGCGCATATACTTTTTTCATTAAATACAATTTTCAGCTCGAGTTACCTCTAAGTTGTGCAACTTAAAATTATATTCCTTTTTTCGCCTGTCTAGAAGATCAAACACTGACCCAGAAACCCCCGTGGCTGTTAATCACCACCGCCTGATGGAATAAACAAAGAAATGATCGACTCCCATTGTTTGTATCGACCACGCGTACTCAAGGTCCCTGAAAACTCAACCCGCACACTCTTTGAAGCTATAAACCTAAAACTTCACATGTTCCTAAATAAGCCCGAAAGCATATGATGGTTGATCCGATGACAATGTACTAAAAAAAAACACCGAAAAGCATAACTGTAAATAGCTTAAAGCCGCCAAGGATCATGGGGGTTGCAGTCGATTCATTGGCTCGGCCGCTCGCGTGTGCCTGGCCTTTCTAATCCAACTTCCTTTTTCTCCTCTAGTAGCCGCTCTCTCATAACGACTTGCTCTATGCTGAAATGATCGACAGTTCACTCCTGCAGCAGCCCGTTGTCAGCTTAGATGGGCAACGTTGCTTCAATAAGGGGGTACTTTACGTACATATTTCAACATAGACGAGCGACACGCGTGTCCGACTCCTCGAGTCGTGGCTTGTTAATTCTTTCTTTTTCAACTCTGTGAAATTTGTATAGTTAGGGAATTATCGGTATTCGAGATGACGAGATTATCCAATATTGTCGCGGGGGCAGCACTCGCCCATGTCGCGTCTTCTCTAAGCCTCAACATAAAAGATCAGGCCTCTGTCAAGGAAAACGCAGCCCAGGTCGCAAAGGGTCTTTACGTATATTATGATCCTAGCTCGACGGCAGGTCAGTTTAAACAACCGGAACCTTGGTTTTGGTGGTTGTCGGGCTCGGCTTGGAACGGCTTGATGGACTATACTGTATACACGGGCGACACAACCTACCAAGCCGATATCCTGTCCGCACTGGCAAAGAACGTGGGCCCGAATTACGATTTCGCTCCGACCGAACAGGAGTCGTGGGAGGCGAACGACGATCAGGTGTACTGGGTGTACAACGCTCTTACGGCACTGGAGTATAACTTCCCAGCACTGCCATGCGAGAAGTCTAAGACCGAAGCAGGCGAGGATTGCGCCAACTCTTGGCTCGCAATCGGCACGAACGCCTTTAATGACTTTGTGGCGCGATGGAACAAAGATAGCGCGACTTGTGGAGGTGGTCTCAAATGGCAGTTCGTCGAGACAGCCAACGGCTACTATTACAAAAACTCCGTGTCCAATGGTGGTTTCTTCCAGACTGCCGCTCGACTTGCGCGGTACACCGGAAACCAGACATTTGGCGATTGGGCGACCAAGGTTTGGGATTGGTCTACCAGCGTCGGCTTTGTCAGTCCCGATTTCCACGTCTTCGATGGCGCGGGCGACGATAAGGATGCGAACTGCACTGCGATCAACAAGGATGAGTGGAGCTATAATATAGCCTCTTATATCCATGGCGCCGCCCACATGTACGCCTTCACCAACAGTTCGACGTGGGAATCAAGAGTGCAGGGTCTGGTCCGCACCGCGCAGAGTACCTTCTTTAGCCCTACATCCAACGCTACTGGCGTCATGTACGAGCAGAAATGCGAACTGGACTCGGCGTGTAACATCGACCAGACTAGCTTCAAGGCCAGCCTGGCACGCTGGCTTGGAAAGACGGCAGTATTGGTTCCTAGCTTGAAATCCGATATTGACGCATTGCTCGAGGCTACTGCTCAAGGTGCTGCTTCTAGCTGCACCGGCTACGGCAATGCTACCTGCGGTGTGCAATGGTACACTGGTGAGTTCGACGGCCAGTCGGACTTGGGTGTCGAGCTAAGTGCTCTTGAAGCCGTACAGAGCCTTCTCGCGGCGAGCGCTCCGAAGTTTGCAGTTCGATCTTAGTGACGTGTCGTATACGTACCTAAGGTAGTCTTTGCAGGATAAGGATCTTCTTGTATATAGTCATTCGGCTTATGTATGACATTAGTAGTATAAGCACGACATTGGATGTCATTGTATATAGATATCATCCTGCGTAGCGGGATGTGTACCTGTTTATTTATCGCAGTTATATATACCTGACATGGAGAATATAGCCCTTCTCTGGTATAGAATTGAAAAGTCGTTGGAGCCTTGACCTTGGCAATTATCTTGTGAGATTACCTAGGTAGACAATCCTATACAAGAGTCTGTGAAATATCCTATGCGAACTGAGTAGAAATGTCCTTAATAATTAACTGTCCCTTTTGCAATGGAGTAGACTGTATGCAACCTAGGCGTACAACACGATAATACTTGCAATTACCAGTGCTGTCGACTACTGTTCAACATACTTTTGCTATATTGTCACTGATGGCAATGCTACCACACATGAAATTCACCCCCGGTACCAAGTTGAATAGATTTATGCCTACTATTTATCATGAGGCGAACCTGGAAGGTAAGAAGAAAGCTTGATTGTGCCGCAGGGGACTCTAAACCCAAGCCAGGGAGGACAGGGACAACTTATACATACCTCCCTACTAGGAGCATCTTCTGTTCTGGATGTCTCATCTAAGTAGGATCTTGACACTCATAGCCCTTACATACTATCAGATCTACTTGTATAGATTGCATGTAGTAAAATATTTTCCTATCTGACCTTGTCCGGCAACCTCTAGCCATTACAGCTTCGGAGTGTTAAGTCTGATTCTACTTGCTAAGAGGTATCAATCGGAAGTTTTTCTTAATTCTTCTCTTAGCCCCATCTAGGTATTCAGCAGCTTCTAACTATGGGTACTCCCGTTTTGTGGCTTGTCGGGAGAGTCTAAGGGGTCTACAAGATTTCTGGATTGGTAAGCGCGTGGTCTTTTATCCCTAGGCTCACACACCTTGGGTTGAGATGTGTCTCCCTTTTTCATGCAGGAATGGTGTTCACACGCTCTTCCACAGAATGTCTAGCCTCGGCGTAGCATTCCGGTCGAATGAATCTTATCCAGATCTCTAGCGTCTTCCACGCACCAGTTCATGTGTCGTGCAGAAAGCAAGGGACGGTTGATATCCAGCAGTTTCAGCCTCTACTTCATGCTTATATAGTTAAACCCTCGAGCATACGGCCTTAAAAATCCCTAGCTCGGGTTAATCCTAGAGCCCGATTCCCATACTTTTGGTCCGCTAGACGCGGCCCGACCCTTTGAGTACCTGTGGAGCTTCTAGAATAGATTGGCAATCCAAGCCACATCATGCCAATATGAGGTCTGCGGAAACTATTAGTGTACCTACCCCAACTTAGGGTGAATGTCAGAACGGATAGCTACATGGCGTTCAAAAGACTCACGGTTACGACGGGCACAACCTTGGCAATTCATACCATCGAACCTTAATGGGGCTTCCCGTTATTCCGCCGTTGTCTCACAAGCCATATCGCCTACGAGACCATTCTTAAGCCACGCGGAGATTCCGCGTCCAGATTGTCTACTATCCCTTATCATTATTAGTCGAACATCGAGAGATAAGTCGCCTAAGGATGACGGTCTCAAGGGTTCCTTGCCTCGTGGCTAGACATTGGCATTTCGCGATCTAACCTTTGCTTTTCCACGTCTTAGCTGAGTCGTTACACAAAATTTCCCTCTCGACGCCGACATTTGTGTAATAATGCATGGTATCTTCCCACCGTCCTGTCTTACATACTAAGACGTCACATTACACAATGCAATCCCGGGATCTAGTATGATTGCTGAGCACCAAAATTGTGGCTTAAGAACTAGAAATTGAGATAATGCCGTGGAAATTCGTTATGCCTGTGACGAGATCTGCTCCTGGATTGCCTTTTTTTGATTCGTGCGCCTTCCCGGCAAATTTCCTGCCCAGATGTTCTAGACACCATGCTCGATCAATATGGCCTTCCAGACTCCAGGAGTCACTTATCCCTAGGTACTGTTGGCGTTATGTATTTCTTATTTTTGTACTACTATCCTTCGTTATCGATGAAGTTCTTACTTATAGCCGCGTCTATCAGCACGAAACCAGGACTTTAGGTAATACTCTCTCACCAAGCTAAATTATAAGATTATAGCCATCAACGTATGAGAAGATAGCCAATACTCACGATACCGAGCACTATCAGCCGTATTCGTCAAGATGGGGTCAGACGATAGCGTTAAGTTCTCAAACGACGATAAAGTCGCCATAGACCATAAAGAGGAACTCCCGCCTCAATATACCGATGAGGAGTGTAATCGTCTAAAACGAAAAGTGGACAGGTACCTTCTCCCGCTGTAAGTCTTGTATAAAACCGCTCCCGACAAATTTGTTATTCTAATTCTGTCACAACAGTATGTGGCTTTGTCATGGACTCCAGGCAGTAGACAAGGCCTGCATCAGTACTCAAGCTACCTTTGGGTTACGCGAAGATACGGGCTTGGTTGGACAGCAGTTCTCATGGCTGACAACGGTCTTCTATCTTACTTATATGTGTTTTGAGATTCCGTCTGTCATCCTGTTGCAGAGATACTCGATGGGCCGGATGTTGTCGATATACATAGTGTGCTGGGGATTTGTCGTGTTGAGTATCGGGTTCGCTCAGAATTTTGTACATCTCCTCACTCTTCGAGCATTGCAAGGAATTTTCGAATGCTCTTTAAGTCCCGGATTCCTTTTGGTAATTGGGACCTGGTACACCACACGAGAACACCCTTCGCGCTCCTTGGTCTTCCAAAGCGGCTATGCCGGAGTGAGCATCATCACCGAATCTATCAGTTATGGAATTGGTACCGTCTCCTACAGGAACCCGAATTTCGAGGCGTGGAGGTACATGTCCTATGTAAGTTACCTATCTAACGCCAAAGCGTGTCGCAGGCTAATACCGTAGCAGTTCCTCGGTAGTCTTACTGTTCTCGTGGGATTATCTTGTTTTCTCATCCTCGGGACACCATCCGAAGTGATCTGGTTGTCCGCGGAGGAAAAGAAGATAGCCACAGCTCGCATCCTATCCAATAACACCGGTCACGATAAAACAGGCATCAAGGAATGGAAGTGGGAACAAGTTAGAGAGTGTCTAGTGGACCCGATAGTATGTTCTTACAACTATCTCTTGAACGTCGTCTTATTCGGCTTGAGGGAGCTGACTTAAAACCCTAGTTCTGGATCGCTGGTGCAAATGCCTTCCTAGGATCAGTTCCGAACGGTGCCCTGACGGCGTTTTCGGGGATATTGACCACTAGTTATGGGTTTAGTAAGTACCCCCTGGTTTACTATACTCTATAGTTATTACTTCGACTAACTGTAGTATAGCGAATCTACAAAATATTCTCTTGAACATTCCGAAAATGATTTTCACGGTACTATTCTTCCTCGCGATCGGACTACTAGTTACTAAGAAGAAGAACCTCCGATTGTAAGAGCTATGATATCTTAACTTTTAACTATACAATCTAATCCAACGCGTATCTAGATGGGTCATGGCGCTCTCTCAACTTCCGCCGATTGCTGGCTTTCTCATCATCGCTCTTCTACCCAATGAGCCACAATACAAATGGACGAAATGGGGTGGACTTTTCATGACTGGAACTTTCATAGTAGCCACGTTCTTTGCTTGGTCGCTAATCCCGTCAAACGTCGCCGGACGAACAAAACGGACCGTCATGTCATCAATCACCTTCGTGGGATACTGCGTTGGAAACATGGTGGGCACACAAATCTTCCAGGCCAAGGATGCGGTATGTCATGTCAGGCTGGGGCAAGATGGTACACCTAATGCTAACGATATGTAGCCCAGATACATCCCGGGGACGATTGGCTGTGTAACATGTTTAGGAATCCAGATGCTGCTAATAATTTTATGGAGGACCATCCTGGTTATGCGCAACGGGCGTAGAGACAGACGGATGAGGGAGTTAGGAATGTCGGAAGAGGATAGAATCAAGGCTGGCTTGGAAATGGGCGAGGGAGACCACACTGACTTTGAGAATCCTTATGTAAGTCGCAGGATATTCGTGAGAATTCGTATTCGCTAATTTGTTGTATAGTTCCGATATGTGATGTAATAAAATCTCACGAAACGAATATCAAAAACAAATCTGTTCAGTATCATCAGGGGTTATCTGGCGGAGTGAAGTTTAGTGCCGGTTACTTTGGCGACATTTCTTCAGTACCGTTCGGAGTGGTTCTGCTACGAACGGTTAGTCCTACACCGCAAGGGGTAGACCCGAGAATTGCAAATGAGGACATTACTGTTTCCAGACGCCAAACTTCATAAATATCCTATCTGAAGAAGGAAAATGATCAATATAGAAAGAATAGAATATCCACGGGAATGGACTTATGTAAAGCCTCCATAAGCAAGCATCTCGGAGACATTCCGGGGACTACTCGCGAAGTAAAATATGTATCCGACGCGACATAAATATATGATTCGGTTCAAGTAAAATCGTGTAGTGCAGAAGTAACTATTAAATGTTTATAAATGCCATTAAACGTCAAATTATCTTTCACGATTTCGCATGTCTTGAGTCTTCCAATTCTCAACACAGGATAACAACGACCTCCACCGCCAACATGACTTCGGAGACATTAGGCAAGGTAACCGGGCAAGTGCATTTCCAGAAACATGCTTCTGCATACGAAAAGCATGCGGGCGGCACAAGTACGCGCCTTGCAGCAGCTGCATTGTCTTACTTACCGCTATTAAGCTATTCTTCAACAAGCCGCATCTTAGACTCGGCGGCCGGGCCGGGCATAGTGACTAAGCTCCTATTATCACCGTCTCCAGCAGATGTCTCAGTTCCCGGGCTGCCGGTTTCTCCACCGCCGCGGGTTACCGGCATAGATTTCGCCCCCCCTATGATCGAACACTTCGTGGCAAACAAAGCCGCGCTGAACTGGACCACAGCCGACGCTTACGTCCAAGATTCGGAGGACCTCTCCCGCTTCAAAGACGCCGAATTCGACGCCGTCGTTATGAATTTAGGCATATTTACCCTCCGGAACCCGGTGGCCGGCGCTGCAGAGATGCACCGTGTACTTAAGCGTGGCGGCTATGCGGTGGTTACTACGTGGAAGACTCGACGGGCTGCCGAGGTGCTTCAAGGCGCGGTGGATGCTATCCGGCCGAACAGCGGGTTTAACCCAATGTACATGCCCCCCGAGTGGTTGACGAAAGAGAAGCTTTCTAGCGTCATGGAGGCTGGGGGATTCCTTGGTGATCAAATTCAAGTTTTCGAGGCCGAGCCGAACTGGGAGTGCGGTTCCGGAGAAGAAGCTGTGAAAGCGCTTAGCTCGCCTATGTGGACGGCGAAACTCTGGGAGGGATGGAGCCGGGAAGAAATAGGGCGTTGGGATGGTGAGATACGAAAGCAATTGAGCGATACGGAGAAGGAGACGGGAATACTGGGGATGTCGGCTTGGATTTGTGTAGCTCGAAAAGTCTAATTAGATGTGGATGTCGTGCGAGGTGTCATTTTGGAGTTTATGAAATTTATTATAATCTGGTTAGTTACAGCGTCCATTTCGAGTTTTATACTATGCCATCATAAAGTTATGAGTTATGAAATCGGCTCGTCGGTTAGTCGGCGGTAGAATATTAACCCCGAAATGGGGAATGGGGTTGTCAAAGAAGTTCATGAATGAGTTGGATCCAACCTCAACCTCTAAACCCGAGATTCAATATTTATCAACTTCTTGATAAATGCGGACTTATACCGTTAAGTTCGTGCCGTTGTTATTGATAGGAGTTTCGAGAGAACGAGTCGAGACGAGTTGAGTATACGATATAACCAATTTGAGCCAAGTCTACCTTTGTCAGTTGGAACAGTTACGAAGGAACTTATACTATTCTGAATAAACTCTACCTCTCAATAAGTGACGCAACTCTAAGAAGCTAAAACGCCTTAGCTCTTACTTTTTGTTAATAAACCCATAGTGTATGCTTGATCCCTGGTTCCCCGGTAATGCTTAGCTCTTAGCCGAACAAGACCGGGGTTAGCAGCATGGGGGACGGGCTACGGGGTCTATGGGGTAGTGCTACATAGCGCGCCATCCTTTTCCCTGACACCGCTTTGCATACCTAAGGTACCTCTGTACCGACTGTTATAAGTCTCGATACCCTCCTCAACCGGGGCTTGTTGTGAACTTCGATGACAATAGCTCTATTTCGTGTTCTTTCATACTTGCGTTATACCCTCCCCACTATACACCTGTACGGGATACCTATATCCTGCCGCCTGCGTATTAGCTGTACGGTCTAGTTTAGATAATTACCTCTTGAGACTTAGACGGGGTTGTCATTTCGTTAACTACAACATCATCTAATATTATGTCTGGACCGACGTCACGGTTGAGGAATCTACTCGGCCATCTAGGGCCGACAACCCCGAAGTCGCCCGTTGGCGTTGACCATACCCATCACATCCACCAGCTGTCCCCAACATTTTTTCTAGAGAGGGCTGCTGCTATCGAACCCGATGCTCCCGCTATATATCACGTTACAGCCAACAACAAAGTCCTAAGGAGGCCGTATAGCGAATTCGCGGACCGTGCCAGGGGGTTAGCCTACTACATTCGAGAACACGGCTATAAACGTGTCGGTATACTGGCGACTAACACGCCTGCTTTTTTGGAATCGATATTCGGAATCGTGGCCGGTGGCGGGGTCATCGTTCCTGTAAACTATCGGTACGCGCCCCGGAAATTCATCTATCCCCGCCAGAGCATACTCCGAATGCTGACAATTATAGCTTAAAACCCGATGATATCACCTATATTTTTGATTTTGCCGAGGTAGATTCCATCATCGTGGATAACGAATATCTACCGTTATTAGAAGAGTTTAAGAAGAGCCATCCTAATGTACCCTTCATCGTTGACCTGGTGAGTACCTAGGTATATACCTGATTTATCCAATCCACGCCCAATGTTGGATGTCGAATGAGAATACCTATACTAACAAAAAATTAAGGATACCGATGCGACTGAGGGTGAGCTCTGTGGTCCATTCGACGAGGCGGTGCTGGAAGGCTTGAAATATGACCAAGCACATGGTAACAAGGGGTGGGCTGGTCTGCACGTCCAGGACATCCACGAAGATGACATGATCGCTATTCCATTCACATCAGGAACGACTTCGAGGCCTAAAGGATGCGTCTATACACACCGAGGCGCATACCTTGCGGCACAAGCTAACGTTATTGAATCCGGATTGAGTCCTGACACGGGGAGGTGTAAATATCTATGGACACTACCGATGTAAGACTACCCCGGAAGACGGTGCTTTTCATTGCTAACACTATCAGGTTTCACGCCGTAGGCTGGACATTCCCGTAAGTTTCTTAAGCAATCGTCAATTTTAAAGTTAAAGGCTTACCCCTATTATAGGTGGGCAGTAACCGCGGCTCGAGGCACGCATTATTGCCTCAGGAGAGTTGACTATCCGTTAATTTGGAAACTTCTGAAGGAAGAAGGGATCACAAATTTTAGTGCGGCGCCGACGGTGAATACTTTGCTCTGCACTTCGAAAGAAGCAGCGAGGTTACCACAGCCCGTGAAGGTCACCGTAGCCGCGAGTCCGCCAACGCCACACCTTTTTAAGCAGATGGTATGAGACACGCCCGGACATCTCGTGAACTTACTGATAGAACCATTTAGACCGATCTAAATCTACACCCCCTCCATGTATACGGCCTGACGGAGACGTACGGCCCAATAACGAAGGGATACCGCCTCCCACAATGGGACGCCCTGCCAGAGTCGGAGAGATACATCAAGATGGCTCGCCAGGGACACGGCTTCATAACCAGTCTTCCGATCCGCATCGTCAAAACCGATCAGCCGGAAGGTGTTCTCGTTGACGTCGCCAAGGACGGTAAGGAGATTGGCGAAATTGTCTTCTTCGGTAATATCTGCTGCAAGGGTTACTACAAGGACCCAGAAGCTACGAGGAAGCTCTTCGCTGGTGGCGCACTACACTCTGGCGACTTGGCTGTCTGGCATCCGGATGGCAGTGCGCAGATCCAGGACCGGGCTAAGGATATTATTATCAGCGGTATGTTTATCTCCTTCTATTCCCGAGGATGCGTTCGATTTGCATGCATAAATACCTACCTAAGGTACTAATATGTGCATATCAAGGCGGAGAGAACATTTCCTCAGTCGCACTCGAGGCCATGCTAGTCCAGCACCCCGACGTCCTCGAAGCAGGCGTCGTAGCCGTACCAGATTCGCATTGGGGTGAGCGACCCAAGGCGTATCTAACAGTCCAAGAAGGAAAGACGCTAGAACCGCAAGACGTGATCAACTGGGCTCGCAATCAAAGCGCGATCAGCAAGTTTATGATCCCGCGGGAAGTCGAGATAGTCGACGAACTCCCTAAGACGAGTACCGGGAAGATTCAGAAAAACGTTCTGAGGCAGTGGGCGAAGGCAGGGAGGAAGTAATAGCATGACGACAAGAAAAAGCGTACTCTGAGGAATGGCACAAAGTATATGGCTACGAACCGGAGAGCGAGTGTGGAATTATGAGGTAGTATGTATACCATAAAGCAGTTCAAATTAAGAGGCGACCAGCGAGCATTTCAGAGCCAATTGGCTGTAAATAGGAATAAATCTAGATTTAGGTAATCTGCTATAAGGGCAAGCCACCTGCGCGTACACACGCTTAAAGCTCGCCTTGTTCAGTTCAAAAGTACTGTCTAGTCCTAATGCCATAGATTAGTACCTAAACCCAACCTTACGCGAGTAAAGAAGCCTCCAATAAAGGAAAGCGAACTGATCTCCGGGTACAAGGTGAATATCTAGTGTAGCCCAATATCTTAAAGACCGTAAAATCCAAGTCGGACGCATAGCGCAGGTCGGTGGTCGGATACATTACAACATGGCGACAGCCTAGCTACAGGTTATAAGGGGTCAGTGCGAGCCATGAGGAGATATATTGTCAATGTCGCAGATCTTGTCTCAACCATAGGCGCCTCTATCCCGTTCATGATTGACCAGAGGGGAACTGGATCGTTCCCGCAGATAATTTTCGTGAGATCTGAGGCGCTGAATGTGGGACCGCTTCGTGTTGCTGGGTCTTGGATTTCATATATGGCAGTTGAGGGGCTTTCGTACTGCTATCTACTTTATCAGACCACGAGTTCTTCCTGGTGTGGCTAATGTGAATCGGAATCGGTATCCTCTAGTTATACTGACGATATATTATTTGGGGATTTTAGAAGTGGGTGAATAAGATGTAGCTATTCGGGAAATCAATTGAACAACAATTAGTTTCTCCTAGTTCTTATTGGATAGGTATCATAAGTTGTCATTAGTCTGCGTGGTAGATACATACTACCAGTCCGATATTCCATCACCAACCCACCATCTCGTTTACTGTCTGAATGAGTCCTCTGGTAAGGAAAAGACTTTATATGTCTGCATATCGTTCCCAAGCAGACAGACCGTGACAGGTACCTTGCCGCGCTCAGAACTAGCCCCCCGAATTTCCATCTGGACCGGTACGAAGTTCGGCTCGCAGGGCACTACCACGTTCACAAATGCGCTGGTAATCTGGTCGTTGCTGAGGACGAGTGGCGTTACCTTGTCTCCCGAGTAATACGGCCGGTACCCTAACTCGTTAGACTTGTGCGGTATTCTGACGATCCGTAGTGGTTGACCTGCTTGAATTAGCGATAAGTAAACTTTGAATGGATGGACTTAATTACCCCTCTGCGCCCACAAGACGAGAAGACTATCGTCGTATAAAAATTTGAGGTCGAGAACCTTTCCTTCGCCAAGGACCATGTATGAGAGCTCGGTCGTGACAGGACCGCTAATCCCATTCAATACGCTCGTAGTCGTTCGGAATATGTATACTATTGGAGGAGAGTCAATTCTGGGGTGTGAATAATTTTGCTGGTCATCCTTACCGCTGCGCTCGTCGCTTTCCGTTATTAAAGCTGTGTATGTTGGTGTCTGGGACGTATCCTGGAGGAGGCCGTTAACATCGAATGAGAGACGACTTGAACGTGGACATACCGCATTAGATATAGTTGACATTGTGACATCAAATTTCGCAATACTACTGTCCAGTTCGATAGCAGTTGGTTGGCCAAACCGCACGCTTCGCTTTTCCGCCTCGGCGATGCCTTTAAAGATAGCACTGGCTTTGCCATCTAAATAGCCGCACAAGAATTCGACCTGGGCGAACGAATTTTCGTCGGGCTGGTTGGTGTCTAGTTTGTTTAGCTGTTTACTAAGGAGTTCCAATAGAGAGCTTCCACCTTCAGCTTGCTGGCGGCTTCTATCCGAGCTTTCAACGGTGACGTTGTTGAGATGGTACCGTAAGGGGCTCGCGGCCATATACTGTTGGATATAGGCAAGAACTTTTCCGTGTTCCATTGTTGCCTCTTTCTCGGAAAGCTCTTCTACCGCCGACGGGGCTGCTAGTCTGTCGATCTCGTGCCGGAGCCAGATAGAAAACGACTGGAACAGATCCAGCTCCTCCATGACGATGAGTAGAATCTTGTTCCCTACTAGCATCAGACAGGACACCGTATCCATGACTCTGGTAACCTGCGCGCTGGTGAACCCGGGCTCCTCCTTTGACTCGTGGAAGCGCGCGATGCCGAGTAAACGGCTGAGGATAACACCGATGCGCTCGAGCGCCGGAAGGAAGTTCTCATGTACCAGGCTGCGAAGCGCGTGGAGGCCTGATAAAACAGCTTTATCCCACCGTTTATGACCCTATCTCACCCTTTAGCGTCATGCCCCAACCAACCCTACGAATGGAAGCTTACGTACCCGCTCCGCCAATTGGTCGACTAGCCATTCCCGCACTTCTGGGAACGTATGGCCTGTCACCACCGTATGGTATAAGGCCTGCCCAATGCCCATCTCGCCGTAGTTGCCAGATTCACGCAGCGTCTCGTTTATGCTATTTAAAAACCGGGTTGGAAGCTCTCGGGTTGACTGCCATTCGTGTATCATATGTATCTGCACTTGTTTCACATACCTCAGCAGCTTTTGTAGCGTAGTGGTTTTTGAAGCCAGCAAGGACAAATTCTCAGGTGACGAATGGATAAAAGTTAGGTCTATGGGCACGAGATAAGCGGTTATCGTCTTAGCTTCCCCAGATGGTTTGAACACAAGCATATGTGTCGACGAGTCGGGATGAGAGGCGTGGTGGCATAACTGCAGGGTGATATTCTTTCCAAGAGGCTGAGGTAGAGCGTACTTAAACGTGCCGATGACAAAAGAATTGTATATGCTGACGTGGATTTGCCCATCGTCGGTGCCAACAATCATAACATCGACGTTATCGCTGTCATGAGGAGCGAAGGGTTGGAATAGGAACTCTAGCGATGCCCTCGTAGTGAATACGAAGGAGTCATCCCTTAAGGCCTTGTTAGCAGATAGTTGCTATGATAATTCGGCTGTGTTCCTTACCCTGAACCCCCCGATGCGGGTAAAGGGCTGAGCTTTGGTAGGGCGCTCTCGACTTCGAGAAACGTGAGTTCCCGTGGGAGGTCTACGGCGGTCTTCCTGCTGCTTGGGAAAAGATCGCGAGGCATTATATCCTCCCAGGATACCGTAGAAGATTCGGAGACCGAGTTTTGACGCTTCCCTGCGCTGTTACGAGCCCAGCCGATGCAGGTGATTCGAGATTTGCCCGCCTCGCATACCGGCATCTGGTGGACAGCCTTGTTCGTCTCCAAACCCATCAACCTCACTACTCCATCACTCCACCCTACAGCTAGAAATTGTCCTAATACGCGTTAGTTTATGAGTCGCCATTCTAATCCGAGGGCAAATGTAGTCTACCATCCGCCTTCCAGCGGAGAGCCTCGACAGTGTCTCGCTCGCCACGTTGACTACTTTTAGTAACAGCTTGGCCATTTGACCGCCATATCTGGAGGGTTCTCGACCCAGCTGCACCGGCGAAGAGTTCGATGGCCGGATTATAAGTGAGAAGGCCGTTGTGCGGCTTAGGATCGAGACGTAAGTCGTTACGGAGAGTGAGCTCAATTGGTTCAGTCATGGTTACTCCTAAGACTGGGCACCTAATTTGAGAGTATCTGGAATGGTACTAATCACGGCACAGCATTTTATAAGTTGAAGTTGTCGTTGTTATTATTTAGTTGTCTTGTTATTGCCGCTGCGATTTTGCAAAGGTTAATGAGTCCACAGTGCTCCAAAACGGTGTGGATCCCGTAGCTACAGTGACCCAGGCATTCATTGTAATGAGGCAGTCGCTGCAAACGCTCTAAATCAAGTAGCTAACACAGTATATTTAGTACCAGATAGATACTGTATACAATATTATAACATTTCCCAAGTTCTTACAATCCACAATAGCAGACAACAATAATTGATGGCATCATTCACAATCAATTAGCATGCTCTATCTAGCTATTGCTCTATATAACATCCTGTCTCATCCCCTTTTGGTGGCCGTTGCTCCATGCCGAACTCATTACATCCTGCCCAAAACCCGTTACTCGACCAAATAGGTCTCGGCCACCGACCTAATGTCTTTAGAGAAACTAACTTCTTCATTCTCCTCCACCAACGAAACTGACGTAACCTATATAAATCGTTAGTACGGCGAAAATGCTGGATTGCGGGCGAGAATATAGTACTTACGTCAACATCGATGAACGGTGTCGTCTTGGAGAATCGTACTTGCATGGGGAAAAACTCGTTCTCGTCATCCGCCTGAGCATCAAATTCGAACGAGCCGTTGGGATTATCGTCGCTAACGGTCCCGATAGCCCATTCGAGACTGTCACCAGATACCTCGTAGGTGGCATCGAAGCTAGACACGGATGGTTCACTAGTAACGTACGGAATGACAACCGTAACATCCTTTAGGGTGTCGCCTCCGGTAAGCTCATACTCGACTGTTATCGTGAAGTTTCCGGACGAGCCCTTGTTCACCCAGACGGTGAAACTGATGGGCAAAGCGCTGGTGTCGTCCGTCTTTGGCGTAGCTCGCCACCTTAAGACGCCAACAGAATTGTTGACGGGGAAACCACGTGCAGCGTTGCTCATCTGGATAGTCTTGGAGCTCGTAAATAGGCCACGATCGACGTTGGGGTGTGTACGGAACTGGGCACCATGAGAGGCGTTTGCCGTAAGGTTGAGCTTGATCTTGGTCAAGCTGGGATCCGAGATTCTCAAACTTAGATCGCCAGTAACGGCTAGGGAGTTTAGAGAGCCCTCCCTCGATAGTTTAGCACCGATAGATTCGTTGATAGTAACGTGGATCGCATCGCGGTCCAAGGATGAAGACACTCGTGGAGCCGCAGGCTCGGCAGCCGGACTGGGAGCGACGGGCACCAGGGGCGACTCGTCTACTTCGGCTCCCATCTCTCCTCGGACGCGTTCAAACATATCTGTAGTCTTGGATTTCTTACCCAACTGCATTCCCTTGCCCTTCATCACCGTTGTCCTGATTATACGTTAGCTCGACGTCTCATATACTCGTAGTATTTCATACTTATGGGTCTTGTTCTTCTCAGCTTCGTAGCTATCGTAGGTATCTGCAGGCGTGGGGCGCGTAGGGGGCGTATAAGTCGGGTATACTGGGGTTCGAGGTGCAACTGGACGACCCATCCTCGCAGACTCCTTTCGTTGCAACTCGAGCTGCTTGGCCTTTCGTTTTCGCTCCTCGGTTGCTTCCAATTCCTTGTTCTGGACGGCTGTTAGCGGGGTAACGGGAAAGCCTCGTGAGTAGATAGCATACTCGCGCAATAATCTCCTGGATGCGCTCTTCGTGACTCTCCATCTCCAAGAAAGTCTTGATCTGACTGATGGTGAGGTTTTCCCTGTAGCCGAGCGAAACCAACTCGTCAAAGGCGCTGAGTAGCTCGTAGGCATTCTTCAATATCTCCCTCTCGTCCAGGCTTCTGCATGTGCTAGTAACTACCTGCGCAAACAGGTGGAGGGAGTCGATATCTTGTAGGATGTTGGACTGGCGGTTGGTGATGAGGACCATGTAGAGCTCGTCAAGGGGTTGGTAGACGAATCGAACATTGTCCTGCTCGACGGTGGTGTGTTGGGTTCCCGAATCGGCAAGTTTAGGGAAGGATGCTAGGAGGGCTTCGATTCGCGATCTGGGCATCTCGCGGAACTGCCTCGAGAGGACAGCTTTCCCGCCTCGAGTACAAATAGATGCGGCTAAGACGACCTAATACAAGTTAGAGATCGTTGGGGAACCTTACTTAGGTCTCTGAGAATGTGTTATTACCATGTTGTCTGTATTGTGCCCGCAGGGACAGGCAACTTCTGTACAATCGAAGGGAATTGATATGCTAAGTAAAGTTATGCCGCGAAATGGGAGTTGGTATTGTACTGAGGCTAGTAGCTGTCCAACGATAAAGCCAATTCACCGTACGTATGTAGAAAATGTGGTACTAGACTTGATCCCCTGTCAAGCCACATGTTTGAACCTACTGGCAGACTGGCTGGCTGACCGGACTTCATAGGTACCTCTCTCTATGTATCTTGCCAATATTTATCCGGCCGGGAGTATCTCATATTAGGTAATCGCCAAGTTGCTGCATGCGTTAGGTTTCAGCTGTCGGGCAGGTGGGGTCCTGTCAACCCAAAATTACCTAATGCCTTCCTACTAACTTTTAGGTATTTCACGGCCTACCTTCTCGACCTACCTTTTGTTAACCTAAAAGTGATCACTTGAATGTAATCCATCAATTCATCTTGCCTTCTCTCAAAGTTTGTCTCATCAGTCACGATCTCTTGGTCTAACTTTAAATGTAAAAGTCACAAACTTTGAATTTATAATCTTCCGACAACCCCATTTGCGTACGTCATATTCTTGACATATACTCGATATTTTCGACAAGGCAGCACCGCCCTTCTTTCCCTATTTCGTAAATCCCGCCTAAACCACGCGATTTGCATCTCACAATCGCCACGATATCCTTCCTACCTCACATTTATCTACACAAGCACCGTCGCGACGACCAACTATCACGTACCTTCCTACGTACCTTTGATGTTCTTGTCCAAGGCTTCCAACACTTCCCTACCTGCTTCCTACTCAACAAAGGATCGCGGTCTTAAAGGAAGTTCAACTAAAGCCTACGTCACAAGGCCTCTACTGCATCTACCACAACCTCTTAGCAGGTTCAATCTTTAATAGATGAGATTTCGATTACCACAGATGATTCTTACGTTTACACGAGCTATTTGCATTGTACACGCCGTTTACCATCAATCGACAACTCTTTAGTTCAGATTTACAGCATATCAGGGCTGCGAAGCACGTTGAAGAGCAGTGGCAAACCGTCAGTCCCTATCAAGTTTCCGACCGCATCTCGTACCCCGCGTTTGCGAAGTCGTTGCGACGAATTATTGATTATTGTAGGCTTGAGGGTAGGCTCTAGCGAACATCAAGCAAGTGAAGTTTACAATCCCTTTATTTCCGGAAGTAGACAGTCCTTACCCGGCTTCTTGAGCCTCTTTGTCCGATACGGACTTGTCATTTCCTGCCTCCTTACCGAGAAACTGGATAACCCACGTGGTATACCAATTTGATACATTCGAGAATAGTACCATTCCCTCTCTAGGGACATTTCTCTATTAGGTTCTGCCATAGATCCCTTCGCAGATAGCCTTGTATCCAAGCATTATATACACAATGCCTGGGGAAGAAATGGAGATAACGACCGATTTCGGTCATGCTGGGTTTGGAGAAGATATCGACATAGATCTAGATTTTGCAGTCGGACAGACTGATGAGGATATGGAGCTTGCAGATTTTGATCAGATGCAGGAGATTCCAAACTTCAACTCAGATACGAGAGATGAGCTGATGGCTGAAGGGGATGATGCGTCGTACGGGATGATAGATGCCGATGACATTGAGAATAACGAGGTGGCAGCAGCTTCCAACGATATCGAGATCGATCTTGGCGACCCCGACGAGAATCTGTGGCAACAGAATACCATCCAAGAAGAGAATTTTGAGGCTGCCGTTGAAATCGACATAGTCGATACCACCGATGCTGATAACGCCAACGCTAACACCGAAAATGTTGGTAATGGCCAAGGTAGTTGGTTAGAAGCATCGGCCTACTCTATTAACAAGCCCGATGAAGTAGAAGCCGGCCAAGTTGATACCGGCACGATTGACGCAGTAGGCAACAATGTGCTTCCAGACAATGAAGTTGTAGGGGACGATGTAGTCTCCCAAGACTTTGGAGTGGTTGTGACGGAAGGCAACAATACCGAGGCTCTTGATGTCGGTGAGAATAACAATATTGAATCAGAAGGCAGGGTACAGAGTGCGGATGACGAACAGCAAAATGTATCTGCTGATGCTAGCCTTCAAGAGTACGCAAAGGAGCCCGTTGTCGGGCAACACGAGCAACAGGAACACGAGAAGAATAATGATACCCACTCAGATGGACACGCCAATGAAGGTAACAATGTCCACGAAAATCGTGAAGATGTCCAGCATCAAGCTACCGGCGATGATGTATCCGAAATTGGATACGATAGTGACGACGACGATAACTCCGTTCAGCATGGAGAACAGCCTTCTGCTCCTGTAGCATCCGATCACGGATCTGTGGTAGAACGTCCTGCTGAACAAGAGCAGGGGCAGGTAGATCAGCAAGATCCGGCCAACTCAGGGGATACTGAGCATCAGTTAGGCAGTAACCCTCACGACGAGGCTGCCAATGACCATGAATCTAGTAATCAAACCTACGGTAAAGAAGAGACTGAAGCCCCTGAAGCCGATGAAGCCAATGAGGCGCAAAGTCAGTCAGATGAGCACGAAGCCGAACGCGAAGACTCCGAAGGCCCCGAAGACCCCGAAGCAGCCGTTTCTGGTGACCAAGAGAATATCCCTCCTGCTACTAAAGCCTTTGTAGAGCATCCCCTCTCCGTCGCTACACGCTATGAGATGTATATCTCGTACGGTAACACGGATTACAGGCTATTCGCTAAATCCGAAGCCGACGATCCTAACAAGTACTTTTTGAGTGATATGGCAGCGTTAGAGCTTCCCCTTGGCCAATTGTTGTCTAGCCTGCGGGATGTCATTTCAGACGAGCTGTCTCCTCTGGATGAATTGGTCATGCACGTAGATGGCCTAGGACTGGAGTTCTCTGAGGTATGTTTAATTATGACCCCATACTAATTTCGCAGAAGCTAATTACGTTGCAGTCCTCTACAGCTGATATACTTGAAAAGTTCACGTTTGGTGACATTCTTGATCTTTATGATAGATTGGTAAAAAATGACGGGACAGAACCATCGCCGGACCTCTACACGTATCTTATGGTAAGGCCTAGCTGTAGGCAGCGCTTTATAGCGCTTCGAGATAGCGCAGATTCTGGTCGTGGCCTTTCAGAAATTGCCATTTATCGAGAAGAGACGCCGATCGAGGGCGATTTAGCTGGCGATTTCGACAGCCACTCTCCGTACGCCCTGCCCCCTAGCGAAGATGATGAGGAGGCCTATGAGTATGAAGAAAGCGGCCCCGCGGAAGATGAAGCCGATCAAGGCGAAGCAGACGAAGCAGGCGAGGTCGAGAATAACAACGAGCCTAACTCACCCTCAGTGCATGGCTCCGCCATAGGTACACACACCGAAGATTTAGCAGGCGAAGCCGACGCGGCCAACGCAACCGACGCGGCTGCCGAGGCCGATGAAGCCAACGAAACTGGAGAGAACGCCGATAATAATGCAGACGCAAGTGCCGATGCGACCACAGCGGACGGCTTGATCGATTTCTCCGATGACGAACTGGACCTTTCACCAACGAAGCAGGGTAATTCTCACACTTCTCTTTTCAACCCCTCGGTCTCCACTGGTTGTACTAGGACTAAAACCTGCATATGCGATGATTGCTTTGCGGTTGAAATTATGGGAATGGAAGCCAGTTGGCGACTCGACAGCTTAAAATCAGCCTCATCCGGTAGTTCCGTCGGAGCTGATCAGCCTTTCGAGTACGAGCTAGGCAAAAGCAATATAGACCCGCCGACGATTTCTCCTACTCAACAGCACTTTTTCATTCCTGAACTCCGGTCCTTTGAGAATTTGCAAATAGTTACTAACATTCACCAACTTCAAGATCAACAAGAGAACGGCTCCCCGCACGATCCTACAAATAAGGGTCTGAACGAGCATGATGCCCTCGCCGCTGCCGAACCCAGCGATCCTGATCAGCATCCATCACCAACAAACGGAAGAGCCGACGCCCCCAGCTCCGATATTACTAGTGCTACGGCCACGCTGAACGGCGATGATAAAGACGAAATCGACTATTCGGATGATGACGGAGAGGACATTGTTGGTGGCAAAGATGTCACGTCCAACGATGGTATTAGCGTGTCGGGAACCCTTAAGGTGCCTATCAATGACGAGATCACGTGGGAGTCAGAGAATGAGGATGCTCGGGACGAACCTGTCACAGCTTCCAAGCCAACGGTACAAGTGTCACCAGTATCTGGAAAACGCGCTCGGTCAGATTCTAACCTAGACGAGGGCGTAACTGAACGTAGCGGTACGTGATCGATTTTGAACGCTAACAGATCTGGCCATTTTGCTAACTTGCTTCAGATGTCAAGCGTCGTCGTCCGTCATGATTTCTCCGAACTTTCCAACCCGATTTTTTCTTTCTCTCTGTTTTCCCCCTCCGACATGCAATACATTCGAACGCATCACTAACGAGCTGATGTCGAGCTTGCATATTTGCAGTCAACCCACAGATGCGCGATTCTGTTCCCGACGGGACGTATTTTGATGTCAGCATACTAACATACAGGTACGAAGAGTGCTAAAAACGGTTTGGCATTCTTAATGGTAAGTTTACTCTAATAACAAAAGACGAATAGCTCGTAAGGATACGCGAAACGGCTTCGTCACGAAACGAGACGGTGACGAGGGTTCCTCTACTTCGATTTTTTGTTTTGCCCCTTTTCTTTTCTGATACCCGCGGCGCTCATCAGCTATTCACGGCGAGAGGTGTGTACCGTGTAAAAGGATACAAGGTCCCGGGGATATTTAGGAGTTTCGGCAATGGAAAATCTATGGAAGTTCCGGTGCAAATGTCATAAATAGGAAGCAGCACGGCGTGGTTGTTGATATATGACTACCTACAGAAGGGTGAAGATTTCATATCGCGTTGCAGGTGTATTGTGGAAGGAGGCTTGAGCTACGATGGCGATTGTAATCCAGTCGAGTCAAACACTTGACAAGCTGGATAGACAACGCCTTGCGTTGCTATAGCTTGCTTGGTTGGTTGAGAACATGTTAGGTTCTGATAATACAGTCGCAGATTCCATAGCAATACACATTACACCTATTTTTGCGAGGATATCGTTTTTAGTGTTCTATGAGCGATTGTAATATCGCGACTCGCTCGAGATAGTAAGGTGGGGACGCGTCGTCACCCCCAATTTGAATCTTGAACTACCTAGGTTACATACATTGTAGGTTAGGTAGTTAGGTGGTTGATCATATCTCGCGAAGGCGTTTCTGCAGTCAGCATATTGCGCCTCCTTATAATGAAATACGAAAATGGGTTAGTTATAATATACACCACAACTGGCATTTGGTATCCAGTCTTTTCAATATTCAGACCCAATTGGATATTTGATTAATAGAGGGATGGATCAGATTGGAGATGATCTGCCTTCAGGAACAGGAAATAGTCAGGGCTAAGTGCAGTTGAGAAGCAGGGAAGAGGCATGTTTTAAATTCCAATTCTACCACCCGAAATGCAGCAGCCAATGGGGCGACCGAGGTTCAACAATTTTAACGTTTAGATGCCGCTATGAGCGCTCAGGTTCTTGCGTACGTGTTCTGCGGATGCAAGGGGAGGCACAGCCTCGTCTTTGTGGGTCTTTTAAGAGAAGTACATACAAACTTCCAACGTTCTTATGTCCATGTGGGTTAAATTCTGTCCAAGGTTTCAAGATAGGTCTAAGATACATTCGGGATCCGCCATAGACCCGAATATATGTTTGTTCTGGCTTGTTTCGGGAACTTTTATTTTGTACTATTTAGCCCACTTAATTCATCCATAATTCATCCATCGAATCAAACTACCTTTTGTTCGTAGAGTAAATCTTAACAGAATAAACCTGGACACTACCTATCTATAGGCCTTATCGTATATCTGGTACATCTGGTACATCTGATTGCGTACCTGTCAGGTACGGGTTAAACTTTCGCTTAAGCAGGCCTAAGTGCATACTAAGATCTGAATACGGGGCTTAAACTCCGGTTAGCGCATCTCTAATTACAGTAAACGGACGATGACGCCCCTACGCACGGCAGAACCAGGGTGGCTAGTAAGTTTGGGGCATCTCCAAGCGGCTAACCTCCTTGGAAGTACCCCGTACTGTTTCTCTGAAACCCCGATGCCTCCCACTTCGAGTTGCAGTCCCAATGTTGCAAGTCAAAGAAAGAAGAACAAGACTTTCACAACTCCGCTGTAAATCACTACGAACTACCACGAACCACCCAAATTCTCATCCTCAACCCACTGCGAAATATCATTCGTTCTTTTTTAGAAAAAATTCGGAAAACTCCTTCCCTCGTATTATTCCCTACCTATACATACATTGTCCACGTACCTCTCGGTTTCTATCTAGGTACTAAGCGGCTGCGACCCTCAGCCACCGGCCTTTTCGACTAGGCGCGAAACCGATTCGATCATTCCCTTCGGGTATTCGTGGCATCTCCGCTGATCGAAGCGCAAATCGGACCACCTGATCACTCCCTTTCGTTGCTTGCCCTCGCCCGGCGCGAGTCATCCATCTACTCTTGCGACGACCTCCATTTTGTTTTCCATCATTTACCCCCCATTTTCACTAGACGCTGCGATTCCTGTCGCGGCCGTAGATCCATCGCAATGATGATGCTAGACGAGAAGTACGGATGACCCCCCGAGGCCCGCCACCGTGACAATGCGTTCCGTAGCCTGCGCCGCGAGTTGATGTCTTGGACGACAATGGACTGACTTTAATTCTTGGATAGATACATCGGACTAGCGTTAGCTATCTCATCAAGTTTAGCCATCGGTATGTCCCTCGAGTCGACTGCGAGAAGAAAACGTGCTCTCAGGATGCATTCACTAACATCATCTCGTCTTATAGGGACGAGTTTTGTAATAACGAAAAAGGTACCGTGACCCAAAGAATCCAGCGCCGAGTTATACCTCGATCTTTATTAGGAGAGTTCGTTCTAATACAACGTAGGGGTTGATACAAGCAGAAGAAAAACATGGCTTCTCCGGCGAAGGTTACATCTACCTAAGAAACCCTTTATGGTGGGCAGGAATGGTAACCAGTAAGAATTCCTCCTATTAAAACCATTGGTAAATTGGTAAATTAGTAAACTGACAAACCACTCTTCGAAGTGATTACGGGGGAGATTTGCAACTTCGCCGCATATGCGTTTGCTCCAGCTATTCTAGTGACGCCTCTGGGCGCTCTATCCGTCCTAATCGGAGCTGTTCTAGGATCATACTTTCTGAAAGAGGAACTGGGAACTTTGGGAAAGCTTGGTTGTGCTATATGCCTGCTAGGTGCCATTATCATCGTTCTACATGCGCCTCCCGACGAGGACATCCAAACGATCGACCAAATCCTTAACTATGCGATTAGGCCCGGTAAGTTAATCCCCAGCTCAAGGATGTTCTTCCCGGACACGAGCTAATGGAGGTTTCTAGGTTTCCTTCTATACTGTGCCGTCGTGGCCATATTCGCGACTGTCATGATCTACAAGATCGCGCCGCTCCACGGCAAGAAGAACCCGCTGATCTACCTTTCGATCTGCTCTACTGTCGGCTCCGTATCGGTCATGTCCGTGAAGGCCTTCGGCATCGCGCTGAAGCTCACTTTCGCAGGCCATAACCAGTTCACCCACGCTTCGACCTACGTCTTCATGATCCTTACCGCACTCTGCATCCTTACTCAGATGAATTATTTTAATAAGGCGCTCAGCCAGTTCAGCACCCAGATGTATGATCCATCACTTACTCTGTATTCTTTAACAAAGCTGACTTATTTGTAGAGTCAACCCCCTTTACTATGTGACCTTCACTACGGCCACCCTTTGCGCCTCGTTCATCCTCTTCTCCGGCTTCAACACCACCGACGTAGTTAATACCCTCTCCTTGCTTTCCGGGTTTCTCATAACCTTCACGGGCGTCTATCTCTTGAACTTATCCCGACGCGATCCGAACGGGACGAGAATTCTTGCCGGACAGGGCACCGATGCTGCCGGTACCGACATGATATCGAGCCTACAGACGCGTCTCAGCATGCAAGCCCGACGAAGTACCGGCTCGCGGATGAGCATAGGAAGTCGGGGAAATTCCGACAGAGAAGGGCTCATGCGCGCATACGATTTGGAACAGGCAGCAGGCGATTTCAGCCTCAACGACCTTGCCGAAGATAGCGATGACGATTCGTCGTCGAGGATGAACGGTGCAGCCGTACGCTCGACGAAAGGTCACGAGTCGATCGAACTACAGAACCGGAAGTCGTCCGGGCAATAAACTATTTTGACGTCAGAAGATTAGTATCTCATATATGTCCCTGTTCAACATCTCTACGATCACATTGTATATTTTCCTATTCGGCGGCGCTCTTCATCGAAAGATTAGAACATTCAATTCCACAGGTGGACAATTCATATTAAGGGTTCTCAGGTTGCTAGTTCCTGACCGGAACTTAGGGTGTAAAACAGAAGCAACCCTTCTCTCCTTCGCTGGAGAGGGGGGAATATCGGGCTCACGAAAGGATTATTAGAGGTAGCATCATTTTTGGGTTCTTGCTTGAGATTATCTCACCGCGGCGTTCCGGGGAAACAAACGGATTACTTTGGAAGTAGTGGACCTTCCGGCACATTCGGCGCAGAGGCGAGGGCTCCGGTTCCGGTTCGTTAGGGCGCGAGAAACGGTAGCAAGCTACCGACACCTTTTCCCATTATCGAATTTGAGAGGAACCAACCTTTGTATTTCCCTTTTCTTTTTTTTTTCTGTATGACTACTACGCGCGGAAGCGATATAACGACAAACGGCATGGTTCTTTCTGCACTGCGCCGGATCTGGTGCCGGATGGGTGGGCAAAGGGATTTGGAGCGACGGCTGACGGGTTAGCGAGCGACTCTGAATAGCCGCCGCCAAGTTACTAGGATGTGTAGACCGTCAGGAGATGACGAGTACTTAATGAACGCTATCCTCTAGCATAGATGTGTGTCGAATTTCAAGTACATCTACTCCAGACTACGGTACGGGTAGATATCTAGTACCGAGGAGGGAAGTTTATGTGCTCATGTATTAGCTAGGCGAATTACCTATCCTACGAGAATGAGAAGGGTGCGCGTTCGCCGATTTTCCAGCATGTCGAACATGAATTATCTTCGTTTTCGTCAAGCAGCCCACTACCGAAATATCAAATTAATGGCAGATTGTAAATATTCGTCAACCAGTACTCATTACGTCCAGCGACGAGGCATTTCACTTGAGCACATATAATACCTATCACCGGGACTTCCACATTTTGTGCGACGATTGCTATTTTGCAGTCCACGACTCTCCTTAGCAGAGGCCATATCTAGTCAGCCTAGAATCGACAATAGAGCATCCGTTATTTCCCGTCCCTGCAATGCAAATGATGATCAAAGACGCCGAAGAATCTCTTGCCCTCGAGAAAATACAGACCGCGTTTCCTCGTTAGAATTCATCCATTTCCGTCCTCCCGATTTTCTTTCCCCACCGTTCAGATTGAAGAGTCCAGCACCGACTGCTCAATCCTTTATTCCTCAGCGGGGGCAGCCTCCTCGCCGCCCTCCTCCTCGGCAGCGCGAGCAGCCTCGGCCTGAGCCTGGATCTGGGCGGCCTTGGCGCCGTAGTCTTGGCTCATGGGTGTTACGATGCTAGACTCTTCCTTGGGCTCGATGATGGTGACGGCATCGGGTAGAGACTTGGAGGGACCGGCCTTGCCCTCGGGATCAGAGCCGCGCATGATCTTGACCTTGATACCGAGAACACCCTGGCGCAGAAGAACGTGGCGGGTGGCGCTGTCGATGAAGTCGCGGGCGGGTTGACCGGAGTGGATCATGAAGCCGTCGGTGAACTTCATGGACTTGGCACGGGCGGCGCGCAGCTTACCGGAGACGACAACCTCGCAACCCTTGGCTCCGCTCTCCATTATGAATCGGAGGACACCATAGCAGGCACGACGGACGGCGAGACCGTTGAGAAGCTTGTAGCGCAGGGACTCGCACTGGGCGACGGCGGACAGACCACGGTTCTGGACCTTGGCGGCGTAGAGGGAGACCGAGTTCTCGGGGAACTTGAAGCGCTTCTGGATGAGGGAGGTGAGCTCGCGGATGCGGCGACCTTGCTCACCGAGAACCTCTTGGGTGTGGGTGGCGCGGATGATGATGTCGGTAACGGTGGGAGTGACGCGCACTTCGACGCCCGAGTAGCCCTCCTCGGCGAGCTCGCGCTGGAAGAACTCGTTCAGCTCGGCGTAGAAGACACCGTCAGCGACGAACTTTCTGCGCTTGGAACTGGAGAGAGAAGGTGAGTTAGCATGCTGGAAACTAAATAAGTTGAGGCCATCGTGGAAACTCGATTTGCTCAATTGAAGAGGGGCAGTCGTAGTGTAGTGGTGATCGGAACCGGCGAGATCAATCTAATGAAGATGGAAAGACAATACTCACATTTGAGAACCCGGGACGGCCATCTTGACTACTGGATATGGATGGTGACTGCTGAGAATCGATCTGTAGTTGAAGGTGTCTTGGGGAGAGAATGGCTCAGCTTTGCCGGGTTGGAGTTGCGGTCGTCACAAAAAATTCGGGGCGGTGGTGGGATTGATGTTCGACAGTGGTGGATGCACTGTCTGGATTTTGGCTATGAATTTTTGGCTTAGGGTTAAGAATTGTGTGCAATGCTAGGTAGATTAGAGAGCTGTTTATCGATAAGATTTATCCCGTAGCGATGCATCTAATTCTTGGCGGTACATAGGTACCTAATCTATGACTCCACTATGTACCAACCTAGGTTAGGTTCGTTTACATATTGTGTGACGTCGGTGTCAGCCACATGCCATTCCCCAATTTCCATTTTCTCAGCCTCGCCTTTCGTTGTTTGGTGCTAATGCAGTACATACCTATGTAGTACTTAAGGTTTAGGCATTGTACACTCCAGCTGCCCCGCCGCTAAAAGTATATCTTACGCTCTACATAGCAGCAGTGACCCAGTGACGCTGGCAGGTCTGAATGTATACGTCTACCTAGGTAATCTGCTAATCCACCTACACCTACTCGACCAACCTCGAACCAACCTTTGGACAATGTGACGGCTGACTTTAACATATGATGCGCTGCCAACTCACAATACACCACGATGCAGCTGGCTAAGCCGTAGTATTCTTTCATACCAACTCAGTAGCAACAATTGTTCTCTTCTTTCATCAGCTGTAGTTTATCGAATCTAAGCCTTTCCTCCTGTCAACCTGTCAACCTGTCAACCTGAGATCTAAGACCTTGCGGGTTTTCGGGCACCTTCAAGTTTCCCTTCGCTGGGCAAATGCGACAACACGTGCGACCTCACCTTTGACTGCTTCGATGTAAATCCACACTTGCAAATGATCCAAGATGCAAGTCAAGAAGGTAGACGCTTCTTCCGCAGTCTCCGTTGGCTCTCGCCATTGCTAATTCCACACTCGCAGATACCCAACGTCGATGCCATTAGGGGAGGCGAGAGACACTCTGGTGAACTCCATCTCACAGAACATCATATTATATTCTCCTTCCCCAGTACCCAACCAGATGGAGCATCAGCACAGCCGAGCGCCCCAAAACCCCGCGAGGTCTATATCGCCTACCCCATAATTGCCAACTGTATCTTTCGACCGTGTCCTAGCGTGACCGGGCGCCCATCCTCAATACGGCTACGATGTCGCGATTTTATGTTTATAAACTTCAACTTCTCGGATGAGGTGCAGGGGCGGGAAGCGTTTGAATACATCCGGAACCGCACTTGTCGGCTTGGTTCGATAGAAAAGCTGTATGCTTTCAGCTACCAACCTCTGAAGCTGGAGAAGCCGTTCGACGGATGGAATATCTACGATCCGAGAGTCGAGTTTCGACGGCAAGGAATCAGCACCAAGTCCGTCGATAGAGGATGGAGGGTATCCTTAATAAATAAGGATTATAACTTCTCACCCACCTACCCTGGCCTTCTCGTCGTTCCCTCTAAGATATCTGACAACGTCATCAAATATGCCGGCTCGTACCGATCGAGACAGCGCATACCTGTCTTAACCTATCTTCATTCCCTGAATAATTGCTCTATCACGCGGAGTTCTCAGCCTATGGTCGGTTTCAGGGGGAACCGCAGCATACAGGACGAGAAGCTGGTCAGCGCGTGCTTTTCCGCTTCGGCCACCGTCGAGTTTAATGGAATAGAGGCCTCGGTAGCGGACACGACGGAGCCAAGTCCAGCATCTAGCCATGCGGATCTCCGAGATACTTTGGACGCGGAAACTTCGGAAACGGAACGCCTCGAAGACGAACTTATCGCGGGGGACGAGAGTAATTACGATACGAAAACGGGAAAGCGGTTGGTATACGGCGCACAGCAGAGCAATCTCATCGTGGATGCCCGGCCAACCATCAACGCAGTCGTAATGCAGGCGATGGGAAAGGGGTCAGAAAATATGGAATACTACAAATTCGCTAAGAAGGCCTATCTGAATATCGAGAATATTCACGTTATGAGAGAATCTCTTAACACCGTTATAGAAGCCCTGAAAGATGGAGACATCTCTCGCCTACCTCCGAACCGCGAACTGCTCGCGAAGAGCGGTTGGCTCAAACACATTACTGGTATACTCGACGGCTCGGCCCTAATCGCACGGCAAGTCGGTATAAGACACTCGCACGTCTTGATCCACTGTTCGGACGGATGGGACCGTACTAGCCAGCTATCGGCCCTGTCACAGCTGATGCTAGATCCTTACTACCGCACGATCGAAGGGTTTATCGTATTGATCGAGAAAGATTGGTTATCCTTTGGGCACATGTTCCAGCAACGTTCCGGCCTGCTCAACCACGAAAAGTGGTTCGTTGTAGAACGCGATTCCCTGGCGGGTTCGGCGATGCAGCCCGGCGAATCGGACGGCCGCGCGGGTGAAGCCTTCGAAAATGCGCTCGCGAGCGCGAAACGATTCTTCAAGAACCGTAGCAGCGAAACCAACGCAGAATCAGACTGCGACGGTGCAGCCTCGCCAGCTGACGATCCGTCGCAAGTAAAAAAACCGGCACCAGGTACGCCCGAAGCTAGCGAAGCTACCCGACCCAATGAAATATCCCCCGTTTTCCACCAATTCCTCGACGCGACGTACCAGATCTTGCGGCAGCATCCTAATCGCTTCGAGTTCAACGAGCGGTTCCTGCGGCGACTCCTCTACCACCTGTATGCCGGACAGTACGGCACATTCCTATGGAATAACGAAAAGGCCCGCAAAGATGCTCGAGCGAACGAGAGGACGAGGTCGGTATGGGACTATTTCCTATCACGGAAGCCAGAGTTTATCAACCGAGATTACGACGCGACGATAGACGATCGGCAAAGCGGCCGCGAAAGGCTCATATTCCCGAAACTCTCCGACGTGCGCTGGTGGCACCAACTCTTTGGCAGGACAGATGCGGAGATGAACGAGTACCTCGATCTGGCTGCGGCGAGGGACGAGAGGCTCGGCAACTACGCCCTAACTGCCACGACGCCATCTATGCCGGGTGGCTTCACGGGCTCTCCAAATAGATCGCCACGGCCGTCGTCACAAAGTCCCCAACCGCCGAGCTTACCTCTGAGCAAGAGCGTACTCACGGGTGTAGAGTCCGCGCACGAAGCACTTACGCCGGAGCAACGGGCGGTAGCCAACAATCCGGCAAGTCTAAAACACAACGCCAGCGCCGATACGCCCAACGCGTTCACAACAAATCTCGCTAAAATCAGGGACGGGGTGGCCGGGTTAGATATAGGACGGGGTATGTTCGGGGGGTCTAGCGCCGCGAGCATCGGCGAAGACCCGAGCGTAGAAAGGGGGGAACAGGAGATGGCGGATATGCCAACGGGGAGCGAGAAGGGGAGCACGGAAATTGCGTGATTGGGGGGGTAGGGGTATTTCCTCCTTGGCTATAGGAGCAGAAGACGGGCATTGTTATGGTGTGGCATTGTAAGAATTATTAGTAGGCGCCCTACGGACGAGAATAAACAAAAGAAGAGATGACACGCATATATTAGGTACCTACCTACCCATGTACAGGCATTCGTTTGACGGTGTTGGCTCTTGGCTCTCGGTGGGTGTTTTGGTTTGGGCAAGAGGTTGTTGATGTTTAGATCGGTCGTGGTCTACTGTGCACGCATCGGGTTTTTGTGGTGGGATCCTCCATGTACTACTAAAACATGACGAACTTCCCAAGCTAGGTACCTAGGAGTTTTGGATCGTGCTAGGTATTCTTCCTATCTACCTATTGATCGTGCTAGGTATTCTTCCTATCTACCTATTCTAGGTGTCTTCGCCCAAATCTCGCATCACCTACTACCTTTTTTTACTTTCATTCCTAATCTCTCGTCTCTATAGGAGATAGAACACAGTTACATAGCAGCACCATCTAACCTAGCTCTAAGCTACCTTCTTCTCTACCCTCACTTAACTTCCTCTCGTCGCTTTCACCGCCGCTTTATAAGAAGACCTCGAGGTTGACTTCGAGAGTGCTGACGGGGTACTTGAGCTCGAAGTTCTCGAGGACGGAGGGATGTAAGATGCCGAACTCGCCGATGCGCGCCTCCTTGCCGCTCAGGCGGGCGAAGACGGCGGCGGCGCGGCCGGGGAAGAAAGTAGCCTCGTCGTTGATGGGCTCGAGCCAATAGCCGTCGCGCTTGAGGTGTTGGGGAGTGACTTTGAAATCGATGTCCTTGCCGGCGAGCCCTTCGTCGTGGGTCAAGAAGGCCTGGCGCAGCATAGCCATGACGCGGTCTAGCAGGCCGTGGACCTCTTCGAAACCGGAAGTCTTGCCGCACCAGGCAGCGGCGAAGTGGCGCTCGTTGCGGGCCTTTCGCTCCACGGTGGGATCTTTGAACACGACGTCCGAAGTCTCGAAGATGCGGAGCGGGAGGGCTACGCCTTTGTTCTCGCGGATGGTCTTCAGCAAGCCGGGGAGCAGCGACGTGCGTACGATCTGGTACTCGGCGGTCTTGGGGTTGGCGAGCCTGACTGCTTTGGTGCCGTCGTCCTTGCGGTTTAGCCATGCGAAGTTCTCGTCGTGGCTGCATAGGATAAGGGGCATGACCTCGGACCAGCCCGCCATACCGGACTCGAGGCGCACGATGTCGGCTAGTTTGTTGAGCGTCAGGGGCGCGCCGACCGTCTTGGTCACGGTCATCCTGGGGAGCTTGTTGAAGCCGTACGCGATACCGAGATCTTCCATGATATCGCACCTCTGGAGTATGTCGGCGCGCGTCGGCGGTATCGTGACTTCTATTAAGGCGTTCGGGTCCTCGCTTGAGGGTTTGGCGGCTAAGGCCATCTTGGAGAGAAGTTTGCTGATGTTCTCGGCGGACTCGGAGAGGCCGAGGCAACCGTTCAAGTAGTCGACCTCGACGGTCGTTATTCGTGGCGTTAGGTTAGGTGTTATCCGCGTCTGGCCGTTGTGGTCGGATATGACCTTGATAGGCTCGACGGTGAAAGGCTCCTCGGCATAGACGGAGAACATCGCAACCATCATGTTGACGACAATTTCCAGCTTGGTCTGGTCCGTCGCCGTGCATTCTATAAAGACGTTCTTGGTGTCGAGAGAAATCTTGGAGTGGTCGCTGTTGATGATAGGCGGCAACGAACAGACTACCCTGTTCGCGTCGTAGATTACGGGGTAAACTGGGCTATCCCG